GTTTCTGGTTGATTTAGTACAACAAATCAAAAATTGTAGTGTTCTTATGTTTGCTGACGATGTAAAACTGTTTAGAAAAATTCAATCCTGGAATGATGCTGTTATATTACAGGAAGATCTTAAATCGTTTTATGATTGGTGCACTTTAAACAAAATGTCACTCAATATAAACAAATGTCATAAAATGACATTCTCGAGGCAAAGAAATCCAATTACATTTGTTTACTACATAAATAACTTGCCATTAGCCTCGAAAAATGAAGTATTAGATTTGGGAATTTGGTTAGACACCAAACTGTCATTCTCAAGCCACATTAACCAAGTAACAAACAGAGCGATGAAAGTGCTGGGATTTATCCAACGCACATCTGTGGATCTGTCTTTATTTACATTTAAAAGACTTTATTGTGGTCTCGTTAGGCCCATTCTTGAGTTTGGATCAGTTGTATGGTCCCCATCATACCACTGTTACATTCAACAGATTGAAAGAGTCCAGAATAAATTTTTGAGGGTAGCAGCCTATAAGAGTGGATACAGGAGAGAGGAATACGACTATCAGTGGGTAAGAGATAGTCTTAACTTACCAACTCTTGAGTCAAGGAGGACATTGTTGGATTTATGTTTCTTACACAAAGTTATCAATGCTTTTATAGATTGTCCTCAACTCTTATCGCTTGTTAGTCTTAAAGTTCCTAGTAGAAGCAACAGACAATCAGAAATCTTTTCGGTGCCATTTCACCACACTAATTATGGTACCAATGAACCAACTACACGATTGGTCCGGAGTGCTAATAGCTTGCCAAGACAAATAGATATTTTTGACTCCAAAATTAGTTTGTTTAAAAAACAACTAAAAAATATCTTACAATAAGTTGGTTATACATCTGTATTATTCTTATATGTTTGTATTATTCTGAGGTGTTTGTTATTTTAATAATTTATTGTTGTTAAGGTGTAACTTTTTAAAACTTGTGATTGTTATTTTAATAATATATTGTTTTTAAGATGTAACTTTGTAAAAATTGTAAGTAAATGGATGCCGTATATAAATAAATAAAAAAGAATTAATATTAATAACAGCAGAGAATTAATATATCAATATTATAACAGCAGAGTAAATGTTTCTATGGATAATAATAAATGTTTCTATAGATAATAATATAATGCCCATTTTAATAGAACTTGAAGTAATACTTTATTTTTGATAGGTCTTTAAAAAAAAGGTACTTTGGATGTATGTAGTGAACTGGAACATATTTTTCGTAGTTATAATGGCGACACATTAAAAATAACAAAAAATTGTTTAAAAACTTAATAGAAGCTGCAAAATATGTAAATGTTAGCGAAGATGTAAAATTACTTTTTTTAGATGTAAAATGTATTTTAATATACAAATTCTAAATCAAAATATTAAAGATAATTACAATACTACGAAAGAAAAATCACAAAGATTGTAAAATAAATGTCTAAATAATATTCATAACGTCTCAAGTTTGACCCGCTTTTCCTTTATGGTCAAATTCTTTACATTTTGCCGGCCTTTTATGTTTTGTAGCAATATTTATTTTGTTTGTAATACACTCAATCAAATCGTAGATTCATATATTTCTTATTAATTACAAATTACTTATTAATTTTCAAAACACGTTTTTACAGAAAGTAACTAGTTATGACTTATTAGTGCAAGATATGGCATCGAGGTATACTTACCGTTAACAGTTTAAGTTTTGAAGTTGTTCATTACAGTAATCGAACAACGTTGCCATATGTTGCATCGTTAAAATATGATACCCAAACAAGTCCCCTGGCTTTGTCTCACCATGACGACATGCGCAAAGTCGATCAAAATTAGTACGGCAAGTGAGCATATCTTGTTTGTTATAGTATCGTGCACAACCCCGTTACTATAAAATAAATACTTATAAAAAACAAAATATCTTTTACTTACGTTACCGGTTTTTTTATCAAAATACACATCCATCTTATAGGGTATTCTATTGCAAACTTATCGCGAATTCCTTAAATAATTTCAGTTATGCTGATAATACACGATAGACACAACATATTGACATCATCTTTCCGAGTAAAATTATGTTTATTGATGCCCATAAAAACATGAGCTCACGATCGTGTCAGCCGGTCAAGAAAGGGATATACAAGTTTATAAAAGTCGCTATCTTGGATTTTTTTGCATAATTTTTAAAATTGTCAAAATAATATACTGCCAAACACTCTAGATGATTTAAATCAGAAAACCTATTTTTAAGTTGAATAATCATTGTGTCAAAAATAAAAAAAAGTGTCTCCTTATCATCGTTAATTTGGTAATTTTTTTCCTCTTATTGGGTTTTGAGACATAAACATTTACAAAATCTTGTTTTGACCTTATATTTTCAAAATTATTTCGCTCTAATTGTAAAAATTCAAGAAATTCATTAATCTTTCTCGTAAAAAATCCAATGTCATACATTTTTTTTTGGAAAATATCAAACAAAACTTCTGATTTTGGTAGAATAATCTCAAATAAATTTAAAAAGAAATTAAAATCAAATTCTTGCAATGTAATGTAAAAACATTTAGAACTAATTCGTGTACACTTCATCTAATTTATATAACGATGTACGTCATCGGCGTCATAGCCTGTGACGTCATATGATACCAACAAGAAATATTTAGGGTTTAGGTGTGTTCTTTTTAGAATCACTTTACCGAGTACAGTGGTATTACAGCCACTAGGCATATTTTATTATATACGCGTAGAAATAATATTTAAAAATTTCTATTAATGTTAACTTAAAGAAATACATAATAATATGTTTCATTTAATTTGTATAAATCCATTATAAAGAGTTTTTATCAAGAACATTTGTTCGGAACACACTGTAACTGTAATCGAACGAAGGTAAAATTTTGGCAGAAATTGGTAACACTTATTTGACAGTTGCGGTGTTGACACTTTTTGTACTGTATTATTTTGAATTTTAAAGTGAATACCTCTTGTTTTATATTTTTACCTATTTAATAAAATCTGTTCTTTTTAGAACAAAATTAGTGTGTTTTATTTCAAAAATGTCACGTAAGAATATAAATAGTCGTTGTAAAGAGATGGTAATACTTTTGCAATAATTATGTGACCTATTTGATTTAAAATGGAGTCAGGATTTTTTTATACTTTGGCAACTATGTCAACTTCGATCTCTGACGTAGATAATGACGTAAGTCGTTATCTAAATTAGATGAAGTATAAGTATCTCCATCTCATGTTGCTGTATCAGAATGCATTTCTTTAAATAGTTTGAGAAGCTCTGAACGAGTACAAGAAACAGCCTCAACGAGTCTACCAGCATAAATTCACCTTGTTGCTGCTACTTTGGGTAAACCTTTTTGTACTAATTTATCCAAAGCAGCAGCTCTTTTGGACGATTTAGAAAAAAAAATGCAGCAAGCCTTGATAATGTTTGAAATAAAATTTTACTCTTTAATATGCTCCACTGATTGCTGTAAAACCAATTTGAGTCTATGTGCAATGTGCATAACAATGAACAAAAATTGAATCTTGATACTTATCTTAACCAGTTTTTGTAGGCCGTTGTGTTGCCCACTCATTACAGCCGCACCATCTTAAGTCTGTGCAATTGGTTTATTTCCACGCTGAAACTCATTTAACATACTGAACAAAATTTCGATAACGGTTCCGCTGAACACTCTTCACTAACATTAACAAATTTTCAAAAATCTTTCACAAACATCACCGTCAGGGCAAACATAACACAAATACAACCGAAAGTTGTGACTGGTTTGAAATAGCAGTGCTTTCATCCAATATAAGAGCTACAAAACTTGCTTTGGTAATTTCTAACTTAATTTCATCAACCTTGAAACTTCCGAAAAAAACTGTTGTTTCTAGATGTTTACAAAATTTTTGATCCTTTTTTGCAATTAATGTTAACAGTTCCCCGTAATTGTCTAGATTGTCTGAGTCATCGCCCTCAAAATAACTCGGCAACGTTAATTCTTGTTTGGTCAAAAACCATACGGCATCTATAAGTGTGCTGCCGACATATTTACTTTGTTTTTTAAATATTATTATGTTTAGCAATATTTGCTTTAAAAGCTTGGTTAAGAGAACTTTCGATTCTTGTTGAATCTTGTTGAACTGAATCAAATTGGTTACACATCTTACATCTGAAACTATTGAAATCGTGAGCTCCGCCGCTGGTACACCCATTTTTTTCTATAGAAATCAGAAGATATGGCCAACAATACAGTCTATTTTTTTGCAACCACATAACCAAGAATTTCCACTGTACCAACTAAATTTAAAATATCGAACTGTTGTTTTTTTATTCCTTTTTTAAATTTTTTAAAATAGGTTTTGGTTTTCCATTTTCAATAAAATTGTATTTTACTCTTAAAAATTATACAAGGAGAATGACTTTTCAAGTAGTTGATCGATTACGCACCGACACTTATCCATGTTTAATTGTATGCTCACTGAAATAGGTAAAATAAAAAATGGTATAACAAGCCTACTAATATCCACAGCGTTCCCATGCCCTCGTGCTTTCAAAATTTTCAGACACGAGCCGGTCCCGACCAATAACCAACGGAGCATCACGCGTATCCACAAATAAAAGTGGTAACAACGTAACGTGCAAACGAGTGCATAAACTCGCTAATATTTTCGTGCGTCTAGTTGGCTATTTACTGAATTACTATTAACACATATTTCTATTGGTAAAAAATATAAATGGAATTATTTCACAGTAGTCATAAAATATTTATTTGCAAGATTTTCAACGGTTATCAATGGTAACAATGATTACATGGACGTTTCGCCAGTACCAATATTAAAAGAAGTGAACTGAGTACCTTTATACTATCTCTCTCAGTGAAGCTCGTTCAGTACATATATAAATGTATAAACTTTTTCTACTTTCACTGAATATTTAGTTTTATATTTTTTTACTTTATTCTAAGAACCATTATTTACTTTATAGGCAATGGGAAGAACTAATCCGAACGTACACTGGAGAGGATCCACTAGAGAATTATTACAAATACATTTCCTGGATAGAACAGACATACCCAAAACATGGGCACGAAGGCAATTTGGTGCCATTGCTGGAACATTGTCTCACCAAGTTTGAAACTGATCGGCAATATGCAAATGACAGACGTTTCTGTAAACTTTGGATTAAATATGTAAGTTTGACTTTATGGTTTCATTTTTCGTACTAAATCTGTCTCATAAATTTACAATGTAAGCAGAAATTATACCAATGAAAAAGTTCCATTTTTTTGTCCTGGTTCATTAAGGGTTTATGTTCACGCCGCAGTTAAAATGAGTGGCATTCAAATAAACTAACGTTTAACAGTTCTTTGAGTAGATGGCAGCACGTGCATCATATTATAATATTTTGATTTTACTGAAATTTAATTCTCTGAACAGCGACATTTTTGCCAATGAGGCCAAGTATTTTTTGCTCGTCTTCGTACTCGTTCTTCGTGCTCCCGGCGATAGTTCCCGAGGTACTTTAAAATGCCCTCTCGTCGCCGAGTCTACGCCGAACGCCTACCTGCTAAACCAGACCCTCCTCTGTCATCCAGCGATGCGGAAATGGAATGACCGCTGAAAGGCCGGCATCACTTCCGAAGCACTACCTTCATTCATTCATTCTCCATTCATCAACATCCACACTCCATTCATTAGCAAGGAGGCTCCCTGTCTCGTTCCTGGTAGCGCGTAGAAGACGCTCATCGCTCCTAGTACGGTATCATTCCCAGACGGTCATTTCCTCCTTCCCCACAGTCTGTCTCACGCATTCTAACTCATACAGTCTGACTCACTTTTCTAGCTTCAACTTTCAGCATCTTTAACTCTTACCTTTGTCTTTGTCCAGGTATATTTCTTTCTCTTCTTTTTTCTTGATCACAGCACGAATATAGTTGTGTATGTTAGTCCAACCTGACTTATTTTCAATGATTTCTCTCACTGTAACAAAATTCACACGTGTCTCTCTCTCTCCATTCTGTTTCTTTCTACTATCCATCTGCTGCAATCTAACATCATATGTGTTAGTGTTCGAGTGTCCACAGTATAGGCATTCATCTATGTCAGCCTGTCCGAACCTAGAGAGGAAGGCCCTAAAACACCCGTGTCTTGTGAGCACCGCGTCAGGAAATAATCCAGTTGCCTGTGGCCCCAGTCCACCCAATCTCTTATGTTCGGGAGCATTTTCGTCCACTGTGCCACATTTTCCGTATTGTTCAATTCTTCTTGCCATCTTTCAATTGACCTTTCCCTTTCCTGTCTTCTCTCGGCCACAATAAGGTTTGGGCCTCTTCTCTCATAGAGCTCTTTTCTTTCCACCGCCAAAACATGCAACGGAACACATCCAGTGATGGTCCACAAGGCTGCCGCAGACACAATCCTATAGGCGCATGCCACTCGCAATAGACTTGTTCTGTCCACTTGTGCCATGAGCCTCCTATAGGCTGTTATCTCTACCGCCTCTCTCCAGACTGGTGCCACGTAGAGGACGATCGACTGTACAACACCGTGTAAGACCCTCCTCCTTTCGGATTTGGGTCCCCCAATGTTGGGCATCCCCCTCCCCAACGCAGCGGCACTATTCGCAGCCTTCCGGACCACAGGCCAAGTACTGGGACTTATAATATACGATCGGTAGAATCGGTACAGTTTGCTCTCAATCGGCAGTCTTCTTCAATGCAATTTGAATTTAGTTAGCTATTATTTGAAGTTTCACAAATTCTAAATTTTGGATTGGATCATTCGATATAATTTTTTAATTTTTGTATCGTGTTGTGTTGTTGTTCATTTACTTTTGAAGTTAAATTGCTGTTTTGATTTTGAATGTTGTTTTTTAATTTTATAAACATTTTAAATAGTGCATATCAGTCTTGTTTCCTAATTAAATTACAAAATTAAATTTCAAATACAAAAATAATTACATAATAAAAAATATACACTCGTAAACCTCATAATGTATTAACCCAGCAGCGGACGCTAAGGGCTGATCAGTTCTTGTAATTTTACATTTTTCTTGGCAACAAGGCTATTGAATTTATATTTATTTTCAGCCGGTAAACGAAAACCTTCCGTTGCTAATTCAATTTTTTGTTCATTTTGAACTTCACTCTGTAAAAAGTTCATTAGTCCACTCAATCTTGTTTCTAAAGTTGTAATTTCTGTAGTTTCACCGATATTTTCCATGGACACGGAAACATAAGATGTCATAGTTGAATCATATCTTCTGGCAAACATGACTCAATAAGAGGATACAATATCGCCGCAAACTTGTCAGCAGTATTGTCTAAGGTCTCAAGTGAACGAAGTTGACTCTCAATCATATCATAAAAAGCAGAAATGCAACAATAAAACACTGAAAATTTTGTTTTCAAAACTTCCACAAAAATTCCCCTCCCAATACAAATTGAAGTGTTTTCTTAAATTTTGAAGAAATTCTTGGTTTCTGAGTTTCTGAGGCGGTCAAATGTTCGTTGGACACAGTGTATACACTTATTTCTCCTAAATTAAAAGAAACTATGGAGGTCATGTTGCTGGACGTCATTTTATTGTGCTAGATAAATTGTATTTATTTGAAGTAAATTTTTTGCCCCATACAATTTTTGACAGATCGTGTTGTTATGCGATGCGTACCCTACGTGCCTATGCGATATAGGCATAACCTACTACATGCATTACTTTTTTGCTAAAATGTTAAAAAGAAGAAATATGTAAAAATAGGAAAATATGAAATTCCGAATAATATAGCAATTAGCAGTTTTATTATCTAATGTAGTTTTTGGACAGAACTATTATGTTAGCTTTTTCAATACAAAAATTTATATATCTCTACATATTTTCAGTTTGATTTGCAACCAAAACCGTTGGAATTCTATCACATGATGAAAGCTAAGGGACTTTGTACAGGATGTGCTGATTTTTATAAAGCCTGGGCTTATTATCATGAAGCTGCCGGAGATTTTATAGCCGCAAACAAAGTGTTTGAAGAAGGAAAACGAAATTTAGCACAACCATTTGATGAACTCGAAAATGCACATCAAAATCTAGTAATAGCAGCTGGTCAACACGTAAGTATTTCAGTTTTCCAGTGATTTTACTTTATTACTTGTGGTACTTGTTTATTTACCATTTATGTAGTTTTCAATATCTCTTAAGGTATAGACAATAAGTAGATAGAAAACAATATTATAAACGCCTTAACTACTGCTCCGACCAACGCATATAAGGGTGCATTTGGACATAATCGAATAATATGAATGTAAGATATTATTAAGTTTATGTTAGGTATAGAATAATCTGAAATTGTAGGCAATTAGTTCTCAGAAATTTGAATGAGTTAAAACAACAACGTTATTGCCAAGTTTGTGTTGTAGATATTTTACCACTGTCTATTTTATTTATCGTTCATTATTCACTATTTTCCGTAGTTTATGTTTGGGGATGTTTACTTTCTTGGGGACGCTTCCATGGTCAGCCCGGGCAATACGCATTGGCCCATACCTCATAATTTCATTTCAATCAATTCCTTTGATCTGTTCACTATTCGACATTGCTGTAGAAGCAACAGTCAAGACCAGCGAAATTAAAGGAACTATAGCCCACTTCTCAACACAAATAGTAGCATATGCAGATGACATAGTTCTTATGGGAAGAGATAAGGAAAGATTAAAAGAAGTATTAACAGTCCTTGCAATTGATGTACGGAAAAGAGGTCTAGAAATTAACGAAAAAAAAAACAACATATCTAATCTGCTCTAGAAGAGAAGATAACAAGACGAGAGAAATTAAGATAGAAAACTACCTTTTGAAAGAGTCTAAGAGAAGACAACGGAGAAATGAGAAATAAAATAGATTTATTAAGGACCAGAGACTGAGATGGCTGGGACACGTAGAGGAAGGAAAACGACCTACTGATTAAGAATGTCACCACATAGAAACCAGAATCTGAAAAACCTAGAGATAGAAGGAAGGACCAGGTCTTGAGAGATATCAAAATCCTGAAAGTGAGAAACTGGAGGGATCTGTGCACAGACCAAAATGAGTGAAAGAAAATTGTAACAAAAGCCAAGTCATGCAAACATTACATCAGGAAGGAGAGATATTGATGATGATGGGTATATTTTGGTGTCATTTTAAAGCTGTATGCGTTGTTTCTATCTGGCTAGAATTCGTTCTAAAGTTCTAGAAATAATATAATTAATATCTCCTGGGTGGAGAAATTTTCGTTTATTAAAAAAATTATTGAATGAAAATAATTTCCATCCTTGTGCGATCGGTACTCACCGGAAGGACCGCAGACGTTCGGATACAATTAGCGTCTCTTAGCAAAGACAATGACGTCGACTTTGCTAAGTATCAAGACAATTACTCTACACACACACTACACTAGGTACCTGACTGTACCATGCCAATGACCATTAGTTGTCGAGGCATTAACTTGACCTAACTCGAACTAACAAAAAAAAAACTCCTGGTTTCTGTTCAATCATGCAAGAGCTATACAAAAATTCACAGCATCCAGAAGAAAATTCAATGACAAAGTGTACTGGCTATAAAATTATTTAATGCTAGCTGGGTAGTTCGTAGTTTAAAACACTACAAATCTTCACACTCAATATAGTTCTTGGGCATGACATTCGAAGAAACTCTAAGCTGGAAACTTCATATAACAAATTTGATCTTATCTTGTCACAAGCGATTAAATCTTTTAAAAACTCTGGCCAATAAAGAATGGGGTGCGGATCGTTAAACACTTTTGATGTTATACAGAACATTAATCAGATCAAAATTAGATTATGGGACTACTGCGTATTGTATACAGCCACTAAGGCACTGCTAAAAAAACTTGACAGTCTTCACAGTCTCTCTTTACGTATATCTGGAGCTTTTCGCTCAACACCAATCGAAAGTATTTAGAGTGAAGTAGGCGAACCGTTTCTAGAAGACAGAAAACTCTGTTTAAGTGTAGCATATGCTACAAAAATCAGGCCTAACTCAAAAAACCCTACTATTCAAAACTGTTTTACAGAAAAGTTGACAAATCTGTTCATAAATAAGCGAGGAGCGGCCAAACCCTTCTACGCAAGGATTAGAAGCTACTTAAATCAATTAAACCACACGCTCCCAGAATGTTTCGACAAAAATTCAACAAACCCATATAACCAACAAGTCGGAGAGACCAGGTAATATTAACTCGACTCCGGCTGGGTCATACGCGATTAACTAATAGCCATGTGTGTTCCAACAAACAATAACCAAGATGCGACAACTGTGAAGAAAAGTTAACAATCAAACATATATTACAGAAATGTCTAGCATTAACGCCAAAGCGCATGTTATATAACCAACAAACTAAGTGGTATTTTAGGTCTACAGTGCAATATGTCAAACCTAAAAAGATTCTTAACTTCAATTAACATTCTAAACGCTATAATACAAATTATTGTTCGGTAATAGCCAATTTGGCTGATGTGATTTTGTTAATAAAAAAAATCTTCACACTAACTGGTTTTTAAATAGATACTAGAAATAGATATTGACTAATTTTTGTGGATATAAGTTTAACATTATTTAAATGGAAACTAAAACTCCCTATATAACTTATTCTGTTTAGGTCATATGTTTAACTTAAAATAATTCTGTTATAGTTGCTGTTTGGTCCTAACGAAAACCATCTAATAGAAAAGAGACAAGCACTTACTTCACTTCATACATACCGATCTGGACGAGTGTCCAGCGTTCGAGTACCCAGCAGTAATAGCGTGGTAACAGTTCCATCAAACAGTTCATCATCGTCTAGATCAAATATGGTAGTTCACATCCACGAAGACCCTTCGGGAGATGGGGCAGCCGCATTACCCGAAGCTCCACCAATAAGCATAATTGCGGCGGTGAAAAGACAAGAGATCCCAAAGGAAAATACGCTTAAGGCGGGCCCTTGGACAAACATGGTTCCCGTCAAGAAAAGAGTTATTGGCGGTTGTGACGGAAGTATAGCAGCAGGGTTTACAGGTGAGTTTTTTTTTATTATCCCGGTTTTTTATAGCGTTTTCCGGTTCCCAGTTTCCAGCTACGTCGGTCATTACATTCGCCAGTGTGAAGGTTTCTTTTAGACATTGCCTTCTGAATGCCGCCCAGCCAGGATTGTTTTGGCCTTCCTCTCTTCCTTCTTTCCCTTGGCGTCCATTTTAAAATTTGGTTTGGCAGCCTGTCGTCGTCCATTCTTTTCACATGACCATACCAGATCAGTTCTCTCCTTTGAATTTCGTCAATGATGGTTGACTTGACTCCCATTATATTTCTGATATGGTTATTTTGTATTCTATCAAGCCTTTATTTTCTAGCTGATCTTCTCCAGAAGTCCATTTCCAATGCAAGTAGGCGTCGCTCAAGGGATTTAGTAAGTTGCCATGTTTTGCATTCATAGAGCACTATACTTTTAAAGATGGAGTTAAAGAGGAGATGCTTTCTTTGATTTGATAGTTCTTTTGACCATAGCATCGGGTTTAGGCATCCTATCACCCTTTTTCCTTTCACAATTCTTTGCTCTATCTCTTTTTCGGTGCGCCTACTCTTGTTGATTGTTGTTCCCAAATGTATATATTCCTCACAGTTCTTGATTGTTTCATGTTCGTTGACCGTTAGATCTTCTACTTCATTCCCGATGCATAAGTATTGCGTTTTGTTTCTATTTACAGAGAGGCCAAATTCTTCATATGTTTTAAACAACCGTCTCGTCATGAATTCTAAATCTTCCTTGTCTGCTGCCACTACTACTTGGTCGTCCGCAAAATGTAGAGTGTATAATGTTGTATCGTCGTCAAGTTGGATCCCCATTCCTGAACAGGATCTTCTCCAGTGTTTTGGTGCTTCATTTAAATAGATCTTAAATAGTATTGGAGAGAGGCAGCATCCTTGTCGTAAGCCTTTTGTTACTGGAAATTCTTCTGATAAGGTGTTGTTTAGTTTGATTTTTGATGATGCTTTATTGTATAATTGTTTGACTGCGGCGATGATCGTGCTATGACGGGTGAGATAATAGCTAGATATTCAAATAGCATTATTTTCTTCTAATGTCTTCACTTCTTTTTCGATCTCTCAGCGTATTTCCTGTAATTCTTCTCAGTACTCTCATCTCTGCCATTTCCAGTAGCCTTTGTGTTGTGGCTCTGTCGGGTCTTGTTTCCGGGGCATGTCTTTATTGGTGTTACACTGTGTTAGTCTATTTGATTTTTGTACTTGATCTCTCACTTCTTTGTCCAGGTCTCCATAGTTGGACAGTGCAATTCCAAGGTATTTTATTTCCATTACTTGTTCAGTACTGATGCCATCAATTTCTATTTTACATCTGGTTGGTTCATTGCTGATTACTATTGTTTTCTGAGATGAGATTGTGATATTAAATTCTTTTGCTCTTATGTTAAATCTGTGGTCCAGTCTTGGCAGACTATCTTTATCTTGGGCTATTAATATTGCGTCGTCTGCGTAACAGAGTATCATAGCGTACAACACATCAATTATTTCAATTGGTGTATGTAAACATCCGACTTTGATTGTGAACTATCTACTTCATATTCTGTGTTTATATTACTTGTGTATCGGTAAAAACTCAATTTTTTTTCACCTAGTATAATTTGTTTAAATTTACTATAATTTTACTGCCCTAGCACAGTAATCCCAGGGTCCAGGGTTGCTAAAACTGCGCTACAGACAAGATAAAGATCGCCAATATATATTACAGATAGGAACATCAAGAATAAAACATTTTTCAAATCTGTGTGAAAATCATATTAATTTTCATCAATTTCATTTGCATGATCTGGTTGATTGAATTACATCATATATGATTGAGGTGCATAACTGCGTATTACATAGATATTTTAAATTTTATCCCATACTACTTTCTAATTATCAATTTTGACTTTCTATTTACCAATTTTTAAGAAAAAAAATGTCTAATAAATATTATTATTTACAGTACATGAAGATGTTATGGAGGTTTCTAAGGGTATACGTCTCCCTAAAAATTATCCTCAAACCTGCCAAGAAGACTATTCGGAATGGGTTATTAGTATTTGTTACCCTGAACCGCCGAATCCATCATGTATTCCTATGTATCCAAAGCATCGTGTTTATGGAGAACCGAATACAGAGTACAGTATTGAAGAGTTGCGATCATCTAGATATGTTGTAAAGCCTAGAATTTCTGAACTCATAGATGACGAAGTTGAGTTTATTGAGGAAATTTTACCAGAAGTAAGGATTTTTCTCTAGATAATAGACACCTTTTCTAATTTTGTTCTTCTTTATTTAAACTTTAGTGTAATTGAGTTTAAACAAAACATTTTATATATGTATGTGACTTTTTATATAAAATTTGTTATATAATTTTTTTAGTACAACTTTAAGGTTATGTCATTAAAGATTTGTGACGTAAAAACCCCACAGCATTGCCAAAACATCAGAATATTAAAGAAATATGAGGAATATTCAAAATGTCGACTATTGAAAAATACACTAGTTAAGAGAGTTTTTAAAATGAAGTAAATAGTCAGTTTCAATAAAAAAAAATTAAATATAAAAAAGAAAGAAATGCAAGAGAGGGCACCAAAAGCTAATAGTCAGGCTCAGGGTAGATTTTGTATGTTATCTTAACTTAAAAAAATAAATATAAATGTGAAAACAAATTCTTCGATTATCGAATTATTCAGGTACATCCACAAGGTAAAGAAAATCCACAGATAATATACAAATATACTTTTGATATAAAAAAAATTACAATTATGATAATAATCAAAAATCGATAATAATATAAAAAATGTGTTGATAAGTGACAGCGGAAAAAGAATGAATAAAATTAAGCAATAAATTATCAGTAAAGTTCAATCCACACATCCATAATTTCAAATTGACCCTAACTACACTTGCGACATCCACGGTCACAAAGAGTTGAGGCTTGAAGCCTTCGTGGTTTATCTCAAAATAAAAAAAGCTAAATGATAATATATGATCTGAAAGAGGTGATATCACATTTTAACAGAAAGTAAATTACATATTCAACTGATGAAAATTAAAATATAGTAAGACTGAGCAAGGCTGTTTTCGTTCTACAGGGTGATTCATTAATATTTTTTTATATTATTTTTAGGGATATATTGAAAACTATTCAACCGAAATTTGGTATCTTGCTATTATTTAGTATGCTTAATATGAAAATGATATAAGTTTTACCATTGACACTAGGTGGGGCCACCTACTATAAGATTGGTTCATTAATGTGGCCATAATTTTTTGTCCGCCCTGGATAAACATTCTAAGAAAAAAAACATGAAATAACATTTAATTTTACACAAAAAAGGTATTCTTCTTTCAAATCAAAAAAGTACACCGTTTTCGAACTAAACGTATTTTTTAGGTACCTGTTTGTTTTGCGAAAAATTAAATACAGACATGCGTATCATTAACAAAATACGTTTATTTCGAAAACGGTGTACATTTTTGATTTGAAACAAGAACACTTTTTTTGTGTAGAATTGAATGTGATTTCATGTTTTTTTTCTTAGAATGTTTATCCAGGGCAAACAAAAAAATTATGCCCACATTAATGAACCAATGTTATAGTAGGTGGCGCCACCTAGTGTCAATGGTATAACTAATATCATTTTCATTTTAAGCATATACTTAATAATAGTAAGAGACCAAATTTCACTTAAATCGGTTAAATAGTTTTCAATATATCCCTAAAAATAATATAAACAATATTAATGAATCACCCTGTAAAACGAAAACTAGCAACAGTTTGCCTAAACAATTTGAGCTCAAACGCTTTATTTTTATGTCAGCTATCACCCATTAGCTAATGTCCAATTAATTATGGGACACCCTATATAATAAAAAAGAATAGTAAATTTAAAAAAACATTTAGTCACCTTCATGATAATTTCAATCACTCTCATCACTGTCTTCGTTGTTTGGTTTAATTATAATATCTACTTCCAGTCTATCAAATATTCTTTCTCTTTCGTAACATTTTGTTATTTCCTTTTCACAATATACTCTTTATTGCCATAGTCACTAGATCAGCTAATCAAATTAAATAGATATTATAAGGTACACTTTTTCTTGAAACTTATATCCCATTTTTATTTTTTTTTTGTCTTAATTGAAGAAGATGTGGAAGAAGATAAAGAATTCTTTCCGTTATTTTCTCTAAATCGAACAATTTTTTTCCATTTGGAGAAAATAACTAAAAATTATACTGGATGTGTTATTTGCAATATTGCCTCTACTTTTATATCAATAAATAATTTAAACATATTTATTTTTAGCGAATAGATGCACATGAAATTGATATACCTCAACAACCCATGCACGACCAGCACATGTTACTGCAGCCACAAGTTCATAATATATCACAAAATCATCCTCAAGTCAACAATTCTCCTGCCTCAGTTCTAAGAAATTCGTTTTCAACAGACAGATCAACCTCACATGTAAGAAATTTAAATCCTTCGTTAGGAGGTAATCACTCTTCTATGAATAGAATGCAGTCCCCTATGGGAAACATACAATCTCCTATGGGAAACATACAATCCCCTATGGGAAACATACAATCCCCTATGGGAAACATACAATCCCCTATGGGAAACATACAATCTTCTATGGGAAACATGCAATCCCCTATGGGAAACGTACACTCTCCTATGGGAAACATACACTCCCCTATGGGAAATGTACAATCTTCTATGGGACGATTACAGTCAACTATGGGAAACACTCAATCGCCCATAGGCAACGTTCATGTTCAGTCACCAATTGGCAGTATGCAATCACCAATGGGAAACGTACAGTCGCATATGGGAAACTTACAATCACCCGCTGGAAGTGTAGAATCACCAGCGGGAGCTAGTCCCTTTCTAGTATGGCCAACTACTAATTTAGATTTGTGGCAGTCTCAGCAAAACACTGCTGTTGCTCCATTTGGAATATTTGAACAATCTTTGGAAGAAAATCAACTAAGAGGTAAGGATAATATTTTAAAGTTTTGCATCACCCGGTTTCAATGTTTAAAGTTATTTTTCGAAAACACGATTTTTAGCTGAGAGGTTTTTTTGAAATGAAAAAGATTTTGAAACGAATTGAAATATTGAATTGTTTTTCCTACACAGTACATATTTTTTAAAAAACATGTTAATCTCATGGTATTTGTCTATCAAAGTTATAATTTTTCTTACAGATCCCTGTATTTGATTGCGTTTAAGAAACTAAAATATATACCGTTGCCTATGATAAAATTATATGCAACTAGCTTAACCGGACGAACTTCGTACCTCCTTAAAATTAAATATTGTAACAAAGTTCAATAACTAACAATTACAACAACAAAAAAGTACTCGAAAACATTCTGTACCAAAAAAGTTTAATGAACGTAATGCTTTGTAATAAACAATATTTTTGACCTTTTTTTGATAAATATACAACGATGCAATTTTTGTAAGTAAATATACAACGATGGCGATTTTCCGACGTGCCATAACTTAACGTATGATTGTCCATGCGTGAAACATGGAAACTCTGGAATATGGAACATGGAAAAGTTGTTTTTGCAAACTTACAAGCATTTAGAGTAGAGTAAATCTTTATTTGCACACATTTTTTAACATAATTGAGCAAATAACGTCACACAGATTAAAAAAATATATATTGACATCACACATTAAAATATATTAACATTACAAATTAAATATGTTGATCAGGGAAAGGGATATGCCAGTCACTCCGCCACAGTATAGGGCACAATGTTAAGTAGGTGTTAAAAACCTTTCTTTTAAAAGCTCTATAGTGTGTTTCCTGTTGAATGTCAGATGGTAGACTATTATAAAATTTAACACACGCATAAAGTAGGATCGTTTTAGCCTGTCTGTCTGTTTTAGCCACGTAGACCAAAAAGAGAAAAGTGAAGAAAAAAGCCCAAGACACTCCCCTGTGGTATGCCTAATGTGAAATTGATGGGTTCAGAGTAAACATTACATCCTTTTTTCTCCAAGCATACTTTTTGTGACCTATTTGTGAAATGATTTTACCCATTTTAATGCCGGTCCCTGTAATAAATACCGATGTAATTTTTGTAAAGATCTAGGCTATCGAAAGCCTTAGATACGTCCAAAAAAGCACCTAGTGTTTTCATCTTTGCCTCCAGTTTTTCTAAAAATTTTGATATAAAATCATAGGTAGCTGTCTCAACAGATCTTGCGAAAAATCCATACTGCGAACTACTATATAAGTTGTTTGCAGTAAAAAAGTTTTGTAGTCTGGAATATATCATATTTTGGAATATATTTTTCTAATATTTTTGAGAATGATGGAAGAAGACTTACAGTGGCTTGATAATTGCCAGTTTTAAAATTTGAGGAAATTTACCTTGCTTGAAAGAAGCATTAACTATAAAAGAAAGAGGAAAAGAAATCTCTGATGAAACATATTTAAGTTGGTTGAAATTTCATCATAACCAGACCTAGGCTTGTTTTTTAAGTCATTTATTATGTGACATATTTCTTTCTCTGAAACGGGAGTTAGAAACATGCAATGATTATTTTGTTCGATATTAATTTGAAAATTTTTTACACTCCTAATTTTCTTTACAGCTTCTGGCGCGTCATTTGCCATAAATTGATTTATTTCATTAGAAAGCATCTTGTCACCCTCTAAACAGAAATTGTCTTGATTTTTGGAATTACCCTTAATCTCTTTTACCAATTGCTAAGCCATTTTAGTTTTATTTTCGCCATTTTTAATTCGTTTTTTACAAAAAAAATTTCGAGATTGAGCGAGTAAAGAATTTTATTTGCGTTTTTCTGCCCTGTAAATATCTTAATAATCAACATTATTACTAGACAGTGTAAATAAAACATCAATCCTAGATTTACAATGTTTTATATCATTATTTTTTAAGTACTTTTGTGATTTTTTTATTTGCTGTATTTATCTCTTTGAGTGGAAACATTGTATAAACATTTTCATCTCAAAAACAGATACCCAGTCTACATTACCTAACATGAATTAAAAAAAATCTTATTCTTGCTAAAGATTCGTTTTTTTGTTATATTTGATTCAAATTTATTTATTTCAAATTTTACCTTTTGAGCAGTATGTATGAGGATTGAATTCAACATAATCAAATGTGTCAAGATTTTTAAAAATGTTATCTATACAGGTTTTTTTTTGTTACCTTGTATGCGTGTAGTCTTTGATGGAAGGTTTAATATCAAAGGACCTCAACAACATTTTTAATGTGTCTGGTCACCTCAAGCAACATATCTATTGCCCTTGCGATTTGTTTATCATTGCAAAAGCCAAACGCACGGAAAATTATACTTAAAATCAAATGATAAGTCTGTTGGAATCATCGGTATACCCGAAGTCAAGAAATAATCTCCTTCGTATTTTTCCTTGATGATCGCTGCCTCAATCATATTATTCATTATCGTTTTCATAATTAATCTCGTTCCATTACACAGTCGAGGTTGATTAAAGTTATGCAGCATAAGGTTAACTGATCCTACTTTTAATTGTAAATTGTAAGATGGGAGCTCAGGCAATTCCATTGAACTCAAAAACTCTGTGGGATCGTTGACATTGTGTTGTACTCGCTGATGTTGTGGTCGATGCTTACGAACACTTTCGATTCTAAGCTTATCCACTTCATTTTCTATCATTCTAGAACACAATTTGCAATTAATTTAAAGATTACTTATCAGACCATCTGATACGAACGTAAGTCGTATCTAGATAATTCCGATTTCCAACATCGAAAACATTATAATACCATGTTTGTCGTTTAAAGATCTGGTCTACTGGCAAGGATCAATCTCAACGTAAATAAGGACTGGTAATACAATGCTAACGATCTTTGATTTTCTAATAAAGTCGCATTTCGCATCGTAGCTGCGAATTATTACCCGCGCGAGTTAGTGAGCCAACCAAATGCCCGATAGATAGAAAGATTCAATGAGGTGGCTTTTGGCTCATTCTACTGCGACCTTTTCAGATCTATTGTGTTCCTCTAATCCTAGATTACATTCTCTAGCCTGACAGTTTTTAAAAGGTCTAATAGCTTACTTCCATGTAGCTCTTTCCGCTGGATTTTCTTGGCCTTACGCAAAGAACCGCACATTTGCCAGGCTGTTTCTTCCTCTAGGTGACAGAATCTGCATAGGTCATCATGTGTCAATTCCATCAGATTCAATTACCTATGTAGCTTACAGTGCCCTGTTAACAGACCTACTACGGCTTTGACTATTTTCCTGTCTTTGCTTATTAGGTCTGCTGTGAATTTTGGCGTCTATAATGAACTGTAGAGACCGACCGATTAATCGGCTTCGGCATCGGCTTCGGCCACCTTCGGCCAATATTTAAACCTTCGGCCAAAATTCGGCTTCGGCCAAAACAAAGCCGAAGGTTTTGCCGAAGGTGACTATAGAAATGAAATAATCTCTGAACAATACGCTTCGGCGAGTCTTTGATAATTTGAATAATATTTACACACTATTTTCTACCCTCAACTAAAACGTTTTACAAACTTTCCAGTCAGGTAATAGTAGGTAGGATATAAATTTTAACAATAGGCCAAGATGTCTTAAAGATCTTCATTTGAGTATTTCTCACGTAGTAAAATTATGATAATAATTTTATTGTATTTGTTAAAACTCACGATTACTGGTGTTTTGAATAGATACCTAAATGGCAAAACATGGACCATCGACCATGAATGCAAATATTAAATATTTTACAACAGTTTAAGTTTATTCTCTCGTGGGTGCAGCTTTGCTAATAGTACTTATTTACCCGTGAAATATATATATTATAATTTACGTTGCAAAATCAGTTCAGGTTTTTGTTCTAGTGTTGTAAAAATAACTTTTGGTAAGTCTGCAATTTTTATTTTAATATAATTTTAGTAAATTTAAACGTTTTTAGATAATGTCAATAAAAAATCCAATTTGGGATTATTTTGAAAAAAGTGGCAACAAAGCTACATGCAAACTATGTTCAAAGTCATTATCGCTTGGCAGTTTAATACCTAAAAAACAAACTATTACAAACATTAAAAATCATCTACAAAAAATCCATACAGAAGAATAGAAATCATTTTGTGACATTGAAATGGGAATAAAAGTTCAAAAATTGGAACATATGAAAACTCCACATGATGTTACACAACCAGTTTCCAGGACATTTCAGCCCAACCTACATCAAATAATGGAACTTAAGTCATCTGCTCTATGGCCTGATGATCATCCGATATCATCTAGGATTGATAAGGGTATCATGGACCTTATTATTGTCGACATGTTACCATACTCTATCGTTGAAGGAGAAGCTTTTCAGCGTTTAAATTTTGGAGATCCTAATGTTACTTCCAAATACAGAAAAAAAACGGATAAAAGTTTTTTAGAACTAGTTTAATGCCAGCTACCTATGACAGAGTTTGGAAAAAAGTATCAAATTTAGTTTCTAAAGCCGAATGGATAAGCTTTACGTCAGATATTTGGAGCAATCCTGCTAAAACCTGTTCTCTTTTGAGTTTTACAGCTCACTTTGTTCATGGTTCAAAAACGTCTTAAAGTTTATATTAGGCGCTAGTGTGCTTAATGATGACCACACTAGTATGTTTATTGCAAGTAAACTTAATGAAATAATTAAAAATTTTAAAATAGAAAACAAAATTCATATAGCTGTAACTGATAACGCAGCAAATATGGTCGCGGCTATTCGTATTACACAATTTACATCTCTAAGATGTGTGGTTCACTCATTACAACTTGTAATTCATGATTCTTTATTAAAACAGGAATTAATTGAAAACACAATTAAAAAATGTCGTAAAATTGTGGGACATTTTAAAAGGAGTGAGCAAGCGTGCAGGTACCTGAGGCAGTTTCAACAAACTTGCAATTTGCCACAAGCATATGTTAATTCAGGATGTGGAAACAAGATGGAATAGCACTTACCTAATGTTGGAGCGGCTCTTCGAACAGAAAGTTGCAATAAATTTGTATATGGCTGAACGTGGTGGTATTGAAGTTCCCAGTTCAACAGAATGGGAATTGATCAACAATTTAATTTCAGTTTTAACTTGTTTTTACCAAGCGACGCTAGATCTTTCAGCCGATTCTGCTTGTGTATCATTGGTTATCCCACTAATAAAAATGCTAAATGGTAAACTTTCTGCGAAAGAGCAGGACTCTGAGGAGATAAGTTTATTAAAGCGACGACTTCGTGAATCATTAATTAAAAGATTCGCTAATATTACAAATTTGCCAAAATTGTCAATTGCGACTCTTCTAGATCCTCGCTTTAAATCAAAATATTTGACAGACGAGGAAGTAATTACATGTAAATCAAGAATTTTAAAATTTCTACGTGAATCTGATAGCTCTAAGTTTAGTTATAAAAATAAAGTTCCTATGGCTATCGCTTCAACATCATCATCTACAACTACACATGTAGAAGATCTAGAAAACAATAGTCTTTGGAATTCACATGATACTTTTGTCACAGCCGTTCTAGATACAACAAAAGAAATTCATAACGACAACGATCCCAATGCAGATTACCTAGATTCGTATTTTACGAGAGGCTTTGCTTTTAAGAAGTGCCGACATATTTCATTATTGGGAATCAAGTCCTATATTTCTTTAAAAACTGCAGCCAAAAAATTTCTATCGGCACCACCAACGAGTGTACCTAGTGAGCAGTTATTCAGCTCTGCTGGGCAAACTATACGCTGACAGAAGAACTAATTTGTTGGGAGGAAAACGCTGACAAGCTTCTTTTTCTTACGTATAAAATTAGGATGTTTGATTTCGAATATTAACTACTAGATCCAGTAATCATAAATACTCACTTGCGTTAATGTTTTTTAATGTTATTTATTTTTATTATCGCTTCTATTACCAAATAATGTATAAATATTTGACTTTTTTATCTCATAATTTTATATTTTTGTTTATCACTTATCAGTTAATAAAAATATAATGCATATTATTTAAATTATTAACATATAATAGGTAATAGGTATATTTTTAGTCACCTTCGGCTTCGGCTTCGGCTTCGGCCGAAGGTATCCTTTAGGCCGAACTTCGGCATCGGCTTCGGCTTCGGCCAAAAAAATCACATTCGGTCGGTCTCTAATGAACTGTTCCAATGCCCGAACCTGCGGTTTCTTTCGTACTGAGCAGATTTCTATCGCATGGACCAGTCATCAGTAGGGTAAAAGTAACCTTCATAATGGTCTAACCTTCACTGTTGTGCCACATTGAAAGAAATGGGTTCACTTTCAGAAAAAGGAATATATCTAGAATAATTTATTTCTATATATGTCTTCTTCTTGTAGTTCCTTCTCTTATCTGAGGTTGGCTATCATCACAGCTATCCGTACCTTATTGGCTGCTGCTCCGAAAAGATCTACTGAGCTGCATCTATACCACTCTGTTAGGTTTTTTAGCCAGGAAATTCTTCGTCTTCCTATGGATCTTTTACCCTGGATTTTACCTTGCATTATGAGCCTTAATATCTGATATTTCGCACCTCTGGTAATGTGGCCTAAATATTTCAGCTTTCTTGTTTTGATGTGCTTTATGACCTCGCAATCCTTTTATGACCTCGCAATCCTTTTGTAGCCGTCTTAACACTTCTGCATTTGTAACTTGTTGGGTCAATGGTATTTTTAAAATCCTTCCATAGCACCACATCTCAATTGATTCCAACTTCTCTATATTATCCAGTTTTAGTGTCCAGCTTTTCATTCCATACAACAAAGTCGAGGCTCGTATCCTCAGCTCCAAAGGAAGGTCTCATTAACAAACATTGTTTTCATTTTTATAAATGCTTGTCTTGCAAACAGTTTTACGATTTTCTGATGTACTCTATCAAAAGTCTTTTGATAACCTATAAAGTAGACTTAGAGATCCTGGTTCATATGTAGTCGTCTTTGCGCGAGAACGTCAAAAGCGAACAGAGCCTCTCTCGTTCCTAGTCCTCCTCCGAATACAAACTGGGTGTTTTCTATGTATTATTTTGAGAAATATCTTAAGTGTGTGGTTTATTAATGAAATTGTTGTGTACTAGGAGCATTCTGTCGCATGTACTGACTTAGGTATTGTTACAAACGTGGACAGCAACCAATCTTCGGGTATTACTGATGTTGTATATACTTTTTTGAACAGATCTAAAAGTATATGCAGTGTTTGTTCGTCAGTGCATTTAATTAGCTCAGTGGGTATGTCATCTGGATCTACTGATGTTGCGGTTTTTGCATTTCTAATTGCCTGTTCAAATTCGCACATTATTATTTTCGGTCCTGTTTGTTCCTGTGGTTCTTCTTGTATCATTCTATCATCGTCGAATAGTTTCATTATGTATTCTTGCCAAAATCTTAGTTTATCTTGGATGTTTGCAATAAGTTTACCATTATCATCTTTGAGTATCCCATAGTGTGCTCGCTTTTTGGTATTTGTTAGTTCTTTTATTTTTTTATGCATATTAAAGGTATGGTTTTTCTGTCATATTCTTCTATTTTTATGCATTGATCTTTTAACCACTTTTCCTTTACCTTTTTTTATCTCTACTTTAATTCTACTTTGTAGTTCTTGGTATTTTGGTTCATGTCTCCCTTTGGCTTTTCTCCTCTCTTCCATTAATGCTAGAATTTCTGAAGTCATCCACTTCTGATTTTTATTTGTCGTTTCAGGCTTTAAATTTTCTTCTGTAGCCTTTAGTAATGCCTTCTGAATATTGCTCCACTTTTCATTGACATCCTTTGGTGTTCTATATCTATAGAGATCTGCAAATTATTGAAAAAAAATGCTAAGAAAGTATACTAAAAAATATATATGCAATCATAGCTGATGTATATGCGTGTCATTACGTAAGATTTTAAAAAATCAAGCTTCTAATTTAAAGATTGTTTAAGACTTGAGTGTTTTAATATTTTGATCATTTTGCAGGAAGCGCGATGAAAACCGCCTTAAAAGATTTAAATGCAGACGAACTAGCGGAAACTGGATCGCGAGGTGGTATGGACGTGGCTGTAACAGCTCAAGCTACTGACAGCGCCAAACGTATTCCTGCATTTAGTGATAATAGTTCATCTTCGGCGGAAGATGTTTACATTCGAGATGTACAAGGAGAAGATGATTTCGTAAATACAGAGGTTTTTAGTTTTAATCTCACTGCGATGAAAGTTAGTACACCTCAAAAGCGAGATCGCGTCCTTAGCACTATTTTAGAAGAATCCAAAGGGTAAGTGAATGTATTAAAATTATATGGTGATTTGATAGTGGTTTGATTTTCCTTTAGTTAAATTTGATTTTAATACTTCATGTTTCTATTGTTTTCGATGGTTTGCAATATTTGTTTTGTTTGATAGGCTCGCAAGTCTGACCTTATGCTCTTTTTAACTATTATTGATAGCCTTATACTCTAGTGATTCTTTCGATGTTCTTATTTCTTCATCCAGTGTTGTTTGTTTCAATTTTTTTCAATATTTAGCAATGTTTTTGAATTTAGATGAATTTAGAGAGTATAAAGTCAATTTCATTTTTTACCGTGCAGTAATGGTACCGGGGGAAGCGGAAATAGTCGAAAGATGGAAAGAGTATTTCGATGAATTACTAAATGGCAATAATAAGTCAAACCAAAGACAATATATGGAAGCAGAAGCAAGAATCGAACACTTAGAAGACATAGAAGATAATTCACCCAGCAAAGAACAAATCGAGGAAATCATAAAAAATCTGAAAAACAACAAATCCCCTGGAAGCGATAACATAACATCAGAAATGATGAAATATGGTGGAAAACTGCTAAATAATTGGATATGTAAGATCATAAAAGAGATATGGATAAAAGAACGAATACCAGAGATTGGAAGGAAGCCATTATTTGCCTATTACCCAAAAAAGGAGACAAAACAGAATGCAGTAATTACAGAGGAGTAGCGTTACTAAATACCGTATATAAAATCCTATCAAAATCCATAAAAGATAAGCTAGAAAAAGAAGCTGAAAATATAATAGGCGAATATCAGTGTGAAAAAAACAGAAAAGGAAAGCCAAAAAATAGATGGAATCAGGAGGTAGAAAAAGATATGGAAGAAATTGGACTAGACGGCCAGAAAAGAAAAATGAATAACAAGAAGGAATGGAGAAAAGTCACATATCGAGCCAGAGAAGATCTCAGTACATAAAGGAAAGCGAAAATGAAGAAAGAACAAAATTTTTTTAAGCCATGGTCCTCTAAGGCCTATACTGCTATTATATATATTATATATATATATATATATATATATATATATATATATATATATATATATATATATATACAATACTCCAATATTTGGGTGTGCAGCGGAAGATGGGACAAAGAAGTACTCTTTTTAGTTAACCAAGCTTTCGCAGAGAATCGAACTAAAAATCTAAGTCTAAAACTTAAAATTCGCCTTTTGAGATGTTACGTTATGTCAGTTCTCCTCTACGGGATGGAAACATGGACATTGAAAAAGATCGATACCAAAAAGATAGAAGCATTTGAGTTGTGGATGTATCGTAGAATATTAAAAATACCCTGGACAGAGAAAGTAACAAATGTGGAGGTTTTGCGGAGAGTGAGGAAAGAGAAAGAGCTGATACTTACTGTTAAAAAGCGCAAACTACAATATTTGGGACATGTTATGAGGGGAGATAAATACCAGTTGCTGCAATTGATTATACAGGGAAAGATAGTGGGAAAGAGATCTATAGGAAGAAGAAGGCATTCATGGTTGAAAAACTTGAGAGAATGGTACAATTGCACCAATTACCAACTGTTTAGATCTGCAGCATCAAAAATACGCATAGCTTTGATGATAGCCAAACTTCGGAACGAAGACGGCACTTGAAGAAGAAGAAGCTTTCGCAAATCTTTATTTGCATCATCAGGGTGCTACAATAAACAGAATTAGTATAAATTACAGAGTAAGACTTACTTTGCCTCTTACACTAATTGAGGTTAGTTGTCTTGATGTTTATTAAATGAAACTGGGAACTCATTTGACCCCTACAACTATGGCGAAAACTATCCAAAAATTGATTTAAAACGTTCTTTAACATACATAAAACACTTAGAACACACATACATAAACATTTAAATAAAATTATGTTAAAATAGTTACAAAACATGTACGTAGTCACAATATAAAATTTTGGTTATAAATATTCTTATCAGAAACAAAAGAATTGCTTGTGAATTCGTTGCTACCAACTTGAAACGACAGAACGTTAGATCTTAAATGATAACGATGTAAAGGTGATAGTATACCTGATAGAAGCTGAACTTATTGAAAAAGAAAAGATGAAAAGACTTATTTTAGAAATAGGAGAGATATTGTATATCTCATATATAATTAAACTTATATTGTTGACGATGAATTGTCTGTATTAGTAGATTCATGTTTATCTAAAGTTAACAATAATGAATATAAGTTGCTTAAATTCTTGGTATCTGTCTTTTTATTAACGGTTTCTTCTTCTTGAAAAATGAAAGCCATCTCGAGAAACAATTCTTTTTGAATAATTGCTCTCCGTGGATAGGATTTTTACATTTGAAAAATCGAAAGAGTGTCCTGTTGTGTTAACATGTGTGGCTAGGGAACATCTATCAGGGTGTAACCTAATGTCACTCTTGTGAAGAGTTAAACGGCTGGAAACTTTTTGGGAGGTGTGACCTATATAAGAACCTTCACAGCCTAAACAATTAAGTTTGTAGACCACATCACTTTTATCTAAGTTTGGTACTTTATCTTTCAATGACTTGTACAGAGATCCCACAACTAAAGTGCTTTTATAAGCAATTTTTACATTTGGTAGGTATTGAGCAAAAATTCTGGTCAATTTGGGAGTGACGTCCTTAATAAATGGAAGTGATGCAAAAGATATATTAGGAATATTGTTAGTCAGTGAGTGGGAAACAGAGGTAATTTTCATATCACCTGTATTTTGGGAAGGGTTTACTTGTGTGTTGAGTATAACAGAGGATGTGTTAAAGATGATTTTCCTAAAAATTCTATTTTTTTTTGTGGTGTGTATTATTTTTGTTTGTTTATTTATTTAGTTTAGTACTTGGTGTTTGCGATTTAGCGTACGCCGGTAATAACAGGAATTAATAACTAAAGAATTATAATTAACGGAGAGGTCAGAAACAATATTCGATATGTATAATCACAAGAACAGCAGAAAAGTTACAACGACTGCTTACAAATATAAATATTGCTTGTAATAATTGCGGTATAAAAATCAATGTCCAGAAAACCAAGTATATGGTTTTCACTGAAAACATGATACACCCAATGCGAATTAGTATAAATGACACTCAAATTGCAAAAGTGTCAAACTACAATTACTTGCATGATACTATGAATAACAAGATAGGATCTTCCCGTAGCCCAAAATCGGTCGTGTTCGCGCATGCCGTCATTGGAGAGTAGAATTTGAATTCTTGTTAAAGTTAAATGGGAATTGTATGCATTCTGTGATAAAATTACTAGACGAAAATAAGTTAAGAGGTTTAATAATTACAATAATCGTATACATAAGAATATCTCCAAACTATTTATTAAAGATTATTTATTGACACATATAAAAAACTGACATTTCGAACGTGCAACTCTCCAATGACGTCACAAAAACATGCGCAATATCTTGGAACTTTAATAAATGAAACTGGAGATCAAACCAGTGAAATAAAAAGATGTATCGAAATTAACAGGGCCACCCACCTTAATTTGTAAAAAAATTCTTCTGCAATAGGAATATAAGTATCCCTCTACGATTAAGAATGTTGGGGGCTATGTATTTAATGCCCTATTATATGGAATAAAGACCTTAAATAGAACAGCATAAAAATATTGAAATCTTCGAGATGTGGTGCTACTATTGAACACTAAAAATAGGTTGCATCGATAGAATCACAAACGTGGAAGTGTTGCTTTGTATAGAAAAAGAACCGGAGATTATGTTAACTATAAAGCGATGAAAACTGGAATATTTGGCTACCGAATACGAGGACAAAAATACGCTTGACCTCAAAATATAATGCAGGGAATAATAGAAGAAAAAAGAACCCAGGCTGTAGAAGAAGATATATATTTATGTGATTCCAATTTATGCTAACGACAATTCAGTTAAAAATTATGTCTAACGGCCGAGCTCAGCTTCTGTTACATCAGTTTAAATTAGTAAAAAACTTGGTAATTGTATTATAATCTAAAAATATGTTTTTATTTAATAAACTCTTTGCAGATCTTCTTCAAATTCAAGTTCAAACATAAAATCCTCACACTTCACCAATACAAATAAAACTGGTATGATCTCAGAAGAACACAATAGCTACTTAGCCCAGAATCTAATGGCTAACGCTGCACTTCGGTCCAGTTTATTAGCTAATTTAATGGATATGCCAGCGCCTACTCAGCCGGTGCCCATTCACAATGATGTAGAAAGTGAACCGATAGATCAAATGATGCAGAGCAGTCCCATCGAGGAAAGTCCAATCAGAACTATACCGGCGCCGGCCAATGTGGCTCCTTTAGAGTTTATCCCGTCAGATCCATTCAAAAGCAGTTTGATCAATCAATTATTAGAAAAGGTAGCTTTTCCAGGTCCGCATACATATGGGTATAAACTGGTGCAGGCTATTCCCAGACTTTGTGTCAAAAAGGAGGCTGTTTTTATAGGTAACTAGATTAATGTATTATTAGCATTTAGCAAATAATCGTTGAGAATTACCGGTCTTTACTACTAGTATTTAAAAGACTGTTCTTAATTCACAGTACATATTTTGCTCTATATTGTTCCGCCTCAGATAATATAGAAACCCAAAAGTGGCCACACTATGTAGTACCATTTTGACTTGTAAAAGTACGGTTTGTATTATTATTACCAATAAACTATAAAAAAAACTTTATTAAATAATAGTAAAAATCACATTTAGATGGCAGTGTACGGATATAGGATAACAGCGTTGCCGATTCTACTGCCATTGTAAATTTTGCTACTTTTGTAAAATAAGGAGGGCCAAACTGAATCCAAATAGAACACCGAAAAGACCGGATTCCCGCAATATAACTTTCTATTTTAAAAATTTTAAAATTAAAAAAAAATCACAAAATTGCAATACATAATATAGAAAGCACAGGCCTATCTCTATAACGCTGCCATGTGAATGTGAATTTCAGTATATCTATATATGTATCTACTTTGAATAATATAAAGTAAACTACTGTGTGTCTGTGAAATATTATAAAATGTTTAACAGTTGCTACTGTTAAGTACGGACCTGCTTGCGCACAACCTAGTTTAAACCCTACCAATTGTTCGACTGCGTCCAGATCCAACCCGATCGAACCGAGCTCGCTCCATCGACAGAGGTATGCTTATGGAAACAAGGATCTACAGACCGAGAGTTTGGTATACAAATTCCACGGCTTCGCGCAATCGTACTTGTAAGTTTGTGAACTAAGTCGACTGGAGTTACAATTTGCCAAATTTAAATGTACAGTAAAACCTCCGTTAACCGAAATAACTGGGGGGGAGGCCGTTTCAGATAACAAGAATTTCGGTTAAAAATAACATTGTTTTTTATAGTATTCTTGGTTAAAGTATTGGTATTAAAAAATACTATGAGGTGAATTCGTAATGTTTTCTAATAAGTAAATACAGAATAAAAAAATTAAATTAAGAAAAATGAACAAGCTTAACAGGATGAAATCTATTTTCTTTTACGTTATCGTTTGACAACGATGTTTTGCAGCTATATGTCCCCATCGTTCATTTGCAGAATGTCCTAAGTTTGCCTCACTTCATCGTTCGACGAAACGTAAAGCAATCTGAAAACGACAAAACTTTATACAATGACAACAAAAATTAAGAACCTAGTCGTGTCCCTAACTAATTAGGCCTAATGTATAAAATTCTTATCCTTAAGGCATTGTAAATCTCGTCGGTGGTCTCATGCTGCCTGTTTTCTGTTGGGTCGTCATCTTCGTCGTCTGATACGCTCAGGTTGTCTGGATGAAAAACCATATCAATGATGTCCTGGTCGATGAATTCACTTTCTGAGTCATCGGCTGCTAACCACTCACGTATCTCTTCTTAGTTAATTTCGTCACATTCCGGCAAATTTTTTATTAAAGGTTTAATTTCTTCTGTCGTTTCTTTACCATTTTCTACTCAAGGATCGTCAATAAAAATCCTATCAAAAAGTTAGTTTTAGCATTTTTCCAAAGTTGAAGATTTGATCTTGGCCCAGCACTCCAGCACACCGATAAACATGTTTCATTGTTGAACATTTGAGGATTTTAGGAACATTTTTGGATTCATTTGTCTCCTGTAATAACAGATGTCTTAAGAATGCTCCTCTATAATGTCTCTCGAATGTGTCTATTACTCCCTGGTCTAACAGCTGAATTAAGCTCGTGGCATTCGGTGGAAAAAATCTGACACTTATCACTATTGTATAGATTTTGAGTCAACAAACAACAATACTTTGATGGGAAGGTTTTTTTATTTTAAACAGGATTTTACGCCTGGGGCGAATTCATTTTCGAACCATTCTGAAAATAAGGTGGTCGACATTCATGAGCTTTTTTGGCTTCTTTAAAAAACTGGAAGTGCTTTTTCTCAAATATCTTTACGTTTTGCGATAAAAATTTACTTCTTATTGACGAAATTATTGAAACTGTCAGCCGTTTCGGTTAAACGATGTTTCGGTTAAAAAGGTTTCGGTTAAGGGAGGTTTTACTGTAATCGTTTCTACTCATTCATATTACAGCTTTTAATACTATTTTTTAATATTAATAATAATATTAAGTAATTAAATATTGCGCCTTGCTTAAAAAAAGTAGGTACGAGATAAATAACTCGTTTTTTATATCTTTACGTATGCTAAGGGTAATAAATTAAAATCCATCAATACAAGACTAAAGGTAGGTACCTATAATTTGAATAAGCTGGTTTTGCCCATACTGACTTTCTAATTACCTACTAATTTTCATAACAGTCAGATATTGTACCTGGTCATAATGCTGTTTTAATATTAGGATTTTCATTTCGCTTGTTGAAACTTTATCCGATATTAATTTCTTGGAAATTTTTATAAGGCTGAGAGTACTAAATCGGAATACTTGAGTATTGTTGAAAAAAACTGAAATTGAAGGTACTACACAATCGAAGAGCTCAAAAAAATTAAATATTTCCGGTATTTTTTTCCAGATCGTATTTTGTTTTTGAGATATATTTAAATTTGGGAATTTTTTAGTATTTTTCCACTTTTTTTCATGTTCTTTTTTAATTTAATTTCAGTGTATAAAAGCCTTTATAATATTATCCAAATTTTATTTGGAAGTTTTAATCTTAAGTGTTCAGAAACAATTTGCGGAAATGAAAATTTGTTTTTTTTTCTTAGTTCTTAATTTGCTATAATATTTCTCATTTGATTTAATAAAAAATATTGTAAATTAATTTTTTTGGATAATTATAACAACGACTCACATCCGAGTAGCTTAACACAATTAAAGAAAATATAAGGAATACGCTCACGACTCAGAACTGAGTCTTTTCTTCTTTTCGCATAAAATATTACAAATTTATTTAAAATGCCCTTTATTTAATATATACTTTATTTATTCATCACAATTTAAAAAAAATACTAGTCAGCACAGCGGTTGATTTCCATGAAAATACGCTAAGCAGTGATAATGATTTAGCATTATCACTGACCAACCGCAGAAATTAAAAGCCGAATAGAACAAGCCCGAGCTGCCTTTGTAAAAATGAGAAACGTACTTTGCAGTCATGATCTTAGCATTGACCTTAGAGTTCGTATGATATCTTGCTACATCTTTCCTGTCCTGCTGTATGGAGTAGAAGCGTGGACCCTAACTGAGGCTATGCTTAAACGCTTGACAGCCTTTGAGATGTGGGTATACAGACGACTACTGAAAATAAGCTGGGTCGACAGAGTTAGAAATGAGGAGGTCCTTAGACGGCTGAACCAAACAACACAACTGGTCAATATAATAAAGAAACGCAAGCTTAAAATACTTCAGTCATATTATGAGACACCCTGAAAAATATGATCTTTTACATCTGATCATTCAGGGAAAGATCCAAGGTAATCGTGGTCCTGGTAGAAGAAGAACATCATGGCTGAAAAATCTAAGGCAATGGTATGGAAAATCAACTACATCGTTATTTAGAGCTGCTGTCAATAAAGTCACGATAGCGAATATGGTAGCCAACATGATATCCAACGATCGATAACGGTCATGGAACTAGAAGAAGAAGTGATAATGATTGCATGTACCTAAGTTAATATTTTTGTCTTTTGGTTGGTGTTATATTGGAAATTTCCCCTCTCAAGGCATTTGCAAGAAAATTGCACTTTCATATAAAAAAAACGAGTTATTTATCTCGTACTTTTTTTAAGCAAGGCGCAATATTTAATTACTTAATATTATTATTAATATTATTATTAATATTAAAAGCTTTAATAATATTACCAATATTAAAAACTTTAATATATTATACATTATAATATTAATATGAATGAGTAGAAACGATTACATTTAAATTTGGCAAATTGTAACTTCAGCCGACTCTATACGAACTTACAAGTACGATTGCGCGAAGCCGTGGAATTTGTACCAAACTCTCGGTCTGTAGATCCTTGTCTTATGGAAGCTTATGCCAAGATGAACGAAGAGAGATGGCACCCCTGCTTCGATGAAGATACATATTTAAGTTATTATTATACAGTTATAGTTTGTTGTTTATAGTGTTTGTTCAATAAAATTACGTGAAATTCTCAAAATCCTTTACAAGTTCTACCAGCTACGTGGTTTATTTTCAGACTTATTCGTTTATTGCGTTTAATAAATTGGTAATTAGTACTGTTAGTTGTTTCGTCATCTCACAATATTTCCATATTCTATTTGATGTCTTATCTTTATCTGTAACTTTTCTATTCTTCAGTATTTTAAATTTCTTACACTCTAATTTTAAATGTTCCTCGTTTACATTAACTTCTATATTAAGAGCGTAGGTGCAAAAATTCGGCCAATGCTTTTTAAATGCATTCATTTTTTTCGAATCCTGAGAAAACTAATAAGTATTTTTGAAAAATTTAAACGCAGAATAAAAGAAAACAATATTACCGAGGGCCAAAAGTCCCTGAAATCTTTTATAATATTTATTTTAGTAAGTTACAGGAGTGAAAAAAAAAAAGAGAAAATTAGGTGCGATTTTTAATTTCAAATATTTTATTAAAAAAAAACTTTTTGTTTATTCTAAGGGATTTTCGGCCCTCGAAAATAATGTAATCTTTCATGCAGCGTTTAAATTTTTCAAAAATATTTATTAGTTTTCTCAGGAATCGAAAAAAATTAACGCATTTAAAAAGCATTTGCTCGAAATTTTGCGACTACGCTCTTAACTCTTCATCTGTGATAATTTCTGTTGTTCTAACGTTATTTGTTGTTGCTCTCTTAGTTAATTATTCAGGAGGTATATCTTTCCGCTATTTAAAACTAATGAAAAGGCTGGTAAGATTTGGGTTGTTTGCTTTAAACCGTGTCTATATATTATGATCTTAGAGATATATTTTTGTTTTTAGGTCGAGAAAGGTATGTTTTAGAAAAACAATTAGGAAAAGGTACATTTGGCACCGTGTATAAAGCAATCGATTTGGGAACGAGCTCTCCTGTAGCCATGAAGTATCAGAAACCTGCAAATAAGTGGGAATATTATATTTGTAGAGAATTACAATCTAGATTAGCAAACCATCCCCTTCGAGACAGATTTATGGATATTCCTCTGGCATATTTTGGTAAGTACCATATTAAAATTTAATGATATTTCTTTTTTATGCTATTTACCCACTCTAATGTAATCTTATTTGCTGTGATTAATAGGAATTAACAAAAATTAATTTGAAAATGCGCTTGATTTTTCTATTTCCACCATACAATGTTATGTTTTGTTAATTGCTATTACAAAAAAAATTCGTCTAATAATTTAATGTTATCTGCCCCATCATATTGAAAATTCAGACATAATATTATAAGATTTAAGTAGAGGACTTTAACAGTATATTGTCAATATATTTGAGGTGTGTTTCCAGGACGACTTTATTGGAGGATAGTTCATTTAATTACATGAGATTAACTTTACTTGAAACTAAGCAAGATCGATTTATTTTCGTATTTAAACGTATTTTCAAGTGAAATCGTGGTTAATTATTATTAAAGATAGTAATAAATAATAATAATTAAAGATAGTAATAAAATTATTATTAAAGATAGTAATACCACAAGAAAAATGGATTTTAGGATTTTATAAGAAATTTATATACATGGATAGAAAATGCGTGCTTTTGTTGAAGGTTAAAACTCAGCTCTCCCTTAAAACGAACTAACTAATGCTGTTTTTTTTATATATCTCAGTCTGTGTATCAGATAACAAATACTTCTTGGGTTATGTAAACACATTAACTCACCTGACATCTGCTAGATGCACATGGCTATTTCAACCTCCATAACCCATAGACGTCACCGTAGCGATTATGGTTTGTTACAGTCTCCCCCTCCCTGGCATCGAACTCATCAGAGGAGGGGCCAACAGAAGATACAGGTTTTTTCCTGGGCGTCCTCGCCTTCGTCTTGGTACTACATGCGTGAGAGCTTCAACATTATTGAGGTTGACGCATGTAACAGCGGATAAGTGGAACACACCAAGAGCGGTAGGAGTGGCCACTCCACAAAGCCCGTAACTTACAGGCGACACCACTCGCTTGATTCTATAGAGTTCAGCTTTCTTCGAGTAAAATTTAGCTGTCTGACCTTTCGTCCTGTTACTGGGAGCGGTTGTTTTAGCCCATATCAAATTTCTTTTGAATGGACTAGGTTCCTTTAAACTTCGATCAGCATATTTATTTTTTTCACGATCAAACACTCAATTTTTCCGATTTAAGATACTAAGAGCACGGCGAAAACGGTCCATGAGTCTTTGAAAAGTCATTGATGCTCATTTTAGTTCAAAAGGCATCCGTAAGTACCGGTAAGTTCCAAACAGTGTCACAAATGCAGTTTTATCACTGGATGATATCCTGATTGTAAGTCTACGGTAGACGTGGCATAAAAAATTCGGTTATCGGCGTGTAATAAATCGTCCATAGGCGGCAACGGATAAAAGTCACTAGTAGTCACAGCATTTAAAAGTTGATAATCTACGCAAAGTGTCGTACCGTCATCTTTTTTCGGTACTAATACAACCTGCGCTGCCTATGAACTCTCACATTCTTCGATAGTACCTTCTTCCAGGAGTTTATCTTAGTTTTGAGCACTTTTCTCTTTGCAGGTGACATTCGATATGGTGGCGGTGCAATTGTTGCACTATTTATAGTCATAAATCGGAAACTCTGGATTAAAATACTTACGATTATTAGATTACTAATTAGATTATTTTAAAAAATTACGACAGTCAAAAAAGGAGTCCGAAAGAGCGGAACATTGTTTACTAATACGTGAACCTTTTACGACTCAAAAATGACGCGAACTAAATATGTCACTGTTTCACCGATGAATTTTGTCGTTAATTAACCCTTAAGACACACTGAGCTTTGATTTACCCATATATAACTTCCTGCAACAAATTGGGTGACAAATATATATCTATGCCACAAGTTGGTCGCCAAAACTATAGCTTGAATTACTTTTTCTCAGAGGGTTTTATGTTTTTTTACAAGAAATTTATAAACACGGATAAATATGAATGTGTGTTTCTTTATTGAAGTTTAAAACGCAACTCTCATCTTAAAACTAACTTAACTAATACCGTATGTATTTTATCTAAGCACTAAGTATAAACACATTAACCCACTTGACGTATGGTAGATGTAGATGGTTATTTCATCCCTCATACCCCCATAGGCGTTACCGTCATACAGAGTAGGGTTTGTTACAAATTTTATTATTATTAATAAAAATTGAAAAAGATCTAATATGAAATTAAACAGATTTTATTAAAATTTAATCCATACATGATATTCAAATGATAATCACCACTCAAATAAAGGGGTGGGAACAAGAATCGTCATTTGTCACATTTAAATGAGGTTATGTGCTTAGAATATAAAAAAAAATCACCGAATATGCAGTTTTTTTGAAGATATGTGCTAGAAATATGGAAATATATCATAAAAGAGGGTTTCTGGTATTTTGAGCATGTTCTGATCTGAAAGTGGCAAACTTGATCCCGCTATTAGAAATAACAAAGAAATATATCAAAATTCGTTATTTATTTACATGCAATTAATTAATTATTTACATGTGCTAAAAACATGGGAGAAAACACCAAAAAAATGGGGTTTATTTTCTATTTTTGAGGATGTACCTGAGAGAAAATGGAATATGAAACATGAAAATGAAATTTGAAAAAATTCAAATATTTTTCCGGAGCTCAATTTTGATCCAAAAAATCTGAAAAAAAAAAACAGAGTGCTTTGGGTATAAAAATGTATGTTTATGAATTTTTCCAAATTTTTACGGTAGGAGATTCATGCGCCACCTGGTGAGCTAAAAATTTGGCTAAAGGGTTTTCTAAATTTGTACTTTCGATCGCCTAATTCAAAATACCATCTCATCCAGCTATAGCCATTATGTCGTAGGAATTATTATCAGCTTCTTAGTTTGTTTCTTAGATGAAAAGTTGATAAATAATTTATGTCGTGTATGCTTATTATGTAGGAAATTAATATTCATAGTAATATGTCCGTTCTTTTCTAGGTGACCAGGCGTCCCTCATAATATCGGAGTATATACCAGGCGGCTCCCTTCTAGATTTGGCAAACATGTACAAACAAAAATCTGCCAAACCAATGAAAGAATGTTTAGTTATTTATTTATGTATACAAATGTTGCAGATTATTCAGGCTATGCATCAAGTGCAAATTATACACGCTGATATAAAACCCGATAATTTTTTAGTTTTCGTAACGATCGATAATACTGTAGGATTACAACTTATAGATTTTGGATGTAGTATTGATATGTCCTTATTTCCGCCTAATGCCACTTTTAAAAGACCAGTGACTACAGAAGATTTCGTGTGTTGTGAAATGCTAGATGGACGGCCGTGGAACTACCATACAGATTTGTTTTGTGTCGCAGCCACAGCACATGTTCTACTCTTTGATACTTATATTAAGTTGCAGAAGAGGGATAATATCTGGTCAATTCAACATAGGTTTCCACGATATTTAAAAGTTGACTTGTGGAATATGTTTTTTAGCAGTTTACTTAATCAACAGGTACATTTTTTATATATTATTATTAGTAAATCCGTCAGTATTATAATGGTTAATTTAAAATGCGCGGTTTGTTTACATGGTACAATGAACACAAGGTTTGATACATAATTGTTACAAAATCGGTTTTGCTTCGCGCATGACGTAGTCAAGAACGTTTCTTCACGTAACAGTTGAATATAGTTGTATAGGAAAGACTTTTAATTTTAAGTTTTTTTTTTTATATAATTTGGCTAATTTAATTATAGTAATTAAAAAGAAATAATAAAATTATTTTATTCTAAAATTATATTTCATCATAAATAATATTTTGAAGTTAATTTAATTTTATTGATTTTTGATACAGTTATTTTGTTCACATAGATATCCTTTATAAAACAAGTTTTAATTATCTTTTATTACTCATATGTACGTACAGGTTGATCAACGTATACTCCAGAGTTGGATATTTCAGATCTTTAAAAAGATACAAAAAAGTGGTATTTACATAAAAATGGGTCTAGTGCAGCTAAAATTTTTTAAATTATTTTCAAATATACAAGGTGTTCCAACTTTTACAACATCTATATTGGAATCAAGAGCTTCTATTCTGGTAGACGACAACGAAATTGGCAAAATTTGTATTCAAAGAGGTGTTAGACAGGGTTGTGTGTTGTCCCCAACTTTGTTTAACGTTTACTCAGAAATAATTTTTAACGAAGTCTTGGAAGGGCAATGTATAGTTCGAATCGGGGGAGAAACTATTAACAACATCAGATATGCAGACGACACCTCGATCATGGCTGAAAGTATCGAAGATCTTCAATTCCTTATAAATCGAGTCACTAGAGAATGCTCTAATAACGGACTAAGCATAAATACAACAAAGACATATTGACTTAGACCGTAGAACATATTGACTTCTCACGTTCCAGTCGAAAAGCATGGGGACTGATCCGCAAACTGGGCGAAGCAAGCAGAGCGCAACACTTAAACAGATCAACAATTGAGCCAAATAAAATAGCCAATAGAATAATTGAGAACTCCCGAGCTCCATCTGAGAAAACTCATACATCTACCGTAAAAAGAGCTCTTAAACAACTTAAAGCAAATACTCCCGCAACATCAGAATACTCACGTGCCTTCTCATTGGATGAAATAAACGAAGCGCTTAACCAAACTAAAACAGGAAAAGCAGCAGGCTTCGATGGAATGTATCCTGAGTTTATAGTCCACACTGGTACAAAAACACGACAGTGGCTCAAAAAATTCTTTAGCGACATTGTGAATACAACTGTGCTACCCCCAGAATTCAAAAGAACAAAAATTATCGCAATCCAGAAGCCTGGCAAAGACAACAAGCTGCCTGAAAGTTACCGGCCTATTGCCTTACTCAGTTGCTGTTATAAATTACTAGAACGACTTTTATATAACCGAATATGTAACACCATTGAGGATGCTGTAGCAATTGAACAAGCTGGATTTAGAAGAGGACGAAGTTGCTGTGACCAAGTGCTGTCCTTAACTACATTTATTGAAGCTGGCTTTGAAAGACGCGAAAAATCTGCCATAACATTTATAGATCTCACGGCTGCCTATGACACGGTGTGGAGAGAGGGCCTTATTTATAAGCTGATGAAAATCATACCTTGCCTCAAAACTTGTCAGCTGATAAACAATCTACTGACTAACAGACTGTTTCAGGTATATATGAATGATGCACAGAGTAACGTTAGAAAACTTAACAACGGCTTACCTCAAGGCTCAGTGCTAGCTCCTTTATTATTTAACCTTTATACAGCAGATACACCTGAAACAAAATCGAGAAAATTTGCTTATGCTGACGACCTGGCCATTGGCTTCCAAGATAATAGTAAAGAAGCAGGAGAACGAGCTCTAAACGAGGACTTATCTACACTAAGTAACTATTTTAAGAACTGGCGCTTACGTCCTAACACAAGCAAAACTGAAACCTGTCTCTTTCACCTGTCGAATCAACTTGCGGGCGATACTCTCAATGTAACTCTAAATGACACAGCTATCAAACATAACAACAACCCCAAATATCTAGGCGTCACACTTGATAGAACACTCACCTTCAAAAGTCATCTTACAAATGCAGCCGGTAAACTAAGAACACGAAATAACTTAATATCAAAACTTGCTGGAACAACTTGGGGTGCTTCTGCAGATACTCTTCGGACCTTTGCTCTAGCTTTGGTTTTTTCAGTGGCAGAATATTGTGCACCAGTATGGCTAAATAGTGCACATACAAGCAAAATCGATGTCCAACTTAACCAAACCATGAGAATAATCACTGGAACAATAAAATCAACGCCAGTGAGATGGCTGCCTACTCTGAGCAATATTGCTCCACCAGATCTACGCCGTACAGCAGCATTAGTGAGAGAGTACCAGAAAATTGTAGCCAATGTACAATTACCAATACATCAAGATATCCCACACATCTCAAAAGAGCACCAATGATTGAGATCTAGAAATCCTCCAATACGATCTGCCCGAAAAATTGGTAATTCCTATGATATACATAGGCAGTGGACAACAAGATGGATGCCAACAGTAGAATCGGACTATATTAAGATATCCACCCCAACTCAGGGTTTCATCGGATCAAATCTGCCCCGGTCCATTTGGGCAAGGCTTAATCGTATACGTACCGGACATGGTAAATGTGCTGATTCGTTGTTCAGGTGGGGTCGTGCAGAAAGTCCACAGTGCGATTGCGGAGAATCTAGACAGACCATAAGCCATTGTGTTTCAGACTGCTTGAATCGTGCCTACCGTGGAAACCTCCAGGAATGGAGCGGAATGCGGAATGTTCCCCAGAAGCAATTGAATGGCTATGTAAATTAGACATTAATATTTAGTGTCATTTATTCTATTCATTCTATTTTTACTATTTTTAGTGTTTGAATAATATATATAATATATATGTGTATATTATTGTAATTGTATTTGTATATTTATCGTACTGTGAAAGTCCATACGCTAAATAAATAAATAACAAAGACAAAATTATTTGTGGTTAGTAAACAAAACCTCGGCGCTATACAACTAATTGTCAATAATGAACCGATAACAAGAGTTAACTATTTTAAATACCTAGGATGTTGGATAATCAGACAAAACTTGTATTCAAAGAGGTGTTAGACAGGGTTGTGTGTTGTCCCAACTTTGTTTAACGTTTACTCAGAAATAATTTTTAACGAAGTCTTGGAAAGGCAATGTATAGTTCGAATCGGGGGAGAAACTATTAACAACATCAGATATGCAGACGACACCTCGATCATGGTTGAAAGTATCGAAGATCTTCAATTCCTTATAAATCAAGTCACTAGAGAATGCTCTAATAACGGACTAAGCATAAATACAACAAAGACAAAATTATTTGTGGTTAGTAAACAAAACCTCGGCGCTATACAACTAATTGTCAATAATGAACCGATAACAAGAGTTAACTATTTTAAATACCTAGGATGTTGGATAAACGAGACACTAAATCCGGATGAAGAAATTAAAACTCGTATAGAAATTGCAAGAGAAGCATTTATGAAACTTAGATCTATCCTGAGCAATTCTGAGCTGAACTTCAGCTGAGAATTAAATTCCTAAAATGTTATATGTATCCTGTATTACTGTATGTATGTGAAGCCTGGATTATCAAGGTTAACATGATGAACAAATTAGAAGAATTCGAGATTTAGTTATATTGTAGAATGCTCAGAATATCATGGGTTCAACACATTTCAAACAGAGAAGTCTTGAACAGAGTAGGTCAAGGTGAAGGTGACTCAATAAGGATGATAAAAAAGAGAAAACTCGAATATCTGGCGCATATAATGAGAGGAAGCAGATACAGGATAATGCAGTTGATACTCAACGGAAAGATCGACGGAAAAAGATTGGTAGAAGAAATACTCATGGCCCCGAATCCTTCGTCAATGGACTGGCTTATCAGCAGATGAATTAGTACAAGATCGAGAACGATATCGGCAAATCGTCATGGAAGCTACCCACGCCTAAAACTTGGACATGGTACTCAACTCTGTTCTGGAACTCTGTTCTACCAAGACGCTTTGATTTTCTTGTGGGTCATTCTCAGGTGTTTTTTCAGTTGTGGAATTTATATCAATGGATGTAGAAGGAACAGTCCCATTAGCTTCACCAACCAATTGCCAAATTCTGCTATCAATAACATCCCTGTCGGACTTACCGCAAACAAAAATACATGGGGATGGTATAAAAATATCATCATCATCAGAGTCGAGATCAACATCACACCAATCTTCTTCTAAGACAGCAAGGAGTTCACATTCTGATTGATTTGATAATGCTGACTTTCTTGAATTTATAATGCTAAAATATACCAGAAATTTTAATAAAACGCGTTAGGCTTTCATGGCCATCGTCTAAATCGTTAAACTATTTATTCGGGCTGATAGGCCATCATCTTCTGAGATTAGTTCTCGACATTTCGTCAACACTAGGAGTTGGCATTTTCTGAAGATGTTACTGCTTGCAAGCTGAAACTGATGCCTCGTTGTACTACGGAGGTCATATTTATATTTTCTAGTCACCTCTCCTCCACTGGTTTCGGTGTGAGGGGGCGTGTCGTCGTTTGTAGCTTTTCTTTTTTCATGATTTGAGGGAAGGGTTTTTGTGGATTTTAATATCTGTATCCTTAGAAATAATTAACAAAATAAATGACCTTTGCGTTTTTTTTATGCAATTGAACAAGGGGAATAATTTTCCCACCAATTTCAAAGACAAAAATCTTTTTATAAATTTGTATAACAAATTAAAATGTATTTAGCTTGCCCAAACAATATATACAATCAAAAATACTTAAAAAAAATTACTTTGTACTTAACCAGAATTTTTGGAGCCGACTCACCAAATAATTTGCGAAATTGTAATAAAAATCAAAGTTTAGCGGCAATAAATATCATAATATTATCAACATCTAATTGTCGATTGTCAACTAAAAGTCAGATCCGTCAAATAACTGTCAGAATAGTTGGTATTATCCATGAAACTAGCACTTCACATTCATTCTTCATCACAAAATTCAACATTCTGTATATTGACAGCGACAATCGAAATTTGGCTGAAAGTAAAGTAGGAAATATGTTCCCGTTGTCTTATTAAGGGTTGAGCTCTTTTGAGAGCTAAAAAAGTTTTTATTTTTATTTAATAGTATTTAAGAAAAAGTTTCATTTTCTATAAAGTTTAAAGAAAAAATATTGGTGTTGTTAACTTCTGTGATATATCTAGGGAGTGATAACACTAATAGGCTCACTAAAGAGAACTTATTGTAAAATAATAATACCTGTAAAAAATTGTTAATAAAAGTAATTATCACATACAATTAAATATTTTTTTAGGTAAAAGTATTTTAGTATACAAACGTTTTAATAACACAACTACAAATCTTAATTATGCTGGATTTTCACAGATCCGATATCCGATGACACGAAATACGAAATTTTTTTGTACGAATATATTTGATTGTAGTATCCGAAATTTTTTGACATATATGTGTTATGTGTCAGATTATTGGATGGTTTGATATTTATTTCAATGAACTGTCAATAAATGTTAGCTGTTTTGTTTGATATATAATATAATATATTATATTGAGCTACGTTCTTGTAATTTTTGCCTCACATAGTGTAGAAGACCCAAAAGCAACACTTTATTCATTGCAGTTATATAATAATTAGGTCTTTGTTGCATTTTAAATATATTTCAAATAGTAAACATAAACACTCCACAAAAAAAAAGGTTAAGGTTCAAGTTAGAAATGTCAACAATGTCAAAATTCATCCGATTTTCGTGCAAAAGTTAAAATATTTTTAACTTCTTCCGATGACTTTTAATTTCGTACGAAAATTATACCTGTTATTTTTCAACCAATGAAATTCTCTGAAATTTATTTCGTATCATAATACCATCGGATATCGGACCTGTGAAAATCCACCTTCATTGGTTGAGTGACAAGGTTTCATGTGTCACCTCGATTTGTCGATTTGTAGAATGTCATTCTAGTTTGGTTTTATGTATGTTCACGGATGGAACCTTGGCATTGTAATGAGTCAGAATTGCGTTGTTAGCCAGCGCTGTTGTCAGATCAAAATATAGGGAAGATCAGTTGGAACCTTTTCACATATTTGGAACTCCAAATATGCGATTTTGTTAGTTGGAACTTGGAACCCTGTCATTTTAACCTAACGATATGTTGTACGTTTTTGTTCTATCATGAAGTGTATTTGTACTCTATTTTCAAAGATATATAAGCAAAACGAGAATATCTACAATTACAATAAAAATAAATGTTTCAACTAACACCTAGTTGGAAATAAGAACTTAAAAATCTACTCAGATTCACTGTTATCACTAGTATCAGTTGTATCTTCTAAATTTATAGTTAATTTGGTTATTGTTGGTAAATATTTAACATAGTCATTTTCCACGTTGTCCATATAATAATCACACTATATTTAGGTAATCTCGGAAGAAGAGATTCTTCAAACCATGATTCAAAAATTAAACTTTTCATGTCCTCATGATAATCTAAAGACGCATCTTTATTTTTTTTTGCAGATATTAATAATACATAATCGATCCATCTATTTTCTCCACCGCAGTGTTGATACTCGGTTATCTATCGGATAGAAATGTCTCTTTAAGAAATAATTATTCTAGTACTTTCCATTAGTGTTTGGCGCTTGTCTATAGTTTTTTACTTAAAATTATGGGTTTTAAGAAATCATCAAAGTGTTGTTGCTGCATATAAGAGAATATCCTTTCGAACCAGTTCACTTCGAAAGCTTTCAATAGTTGGAAAAATATTAGCCACTTCCATTTTATATATTGTTCTGATTATATGTTCCTTTAGGTGCGGTTCTATTTGTGTGAATTTGCACAATCCTTTCTCACCTGCCTAGAAGATGTTGCTCCTATAGTCTTGTATCAGATTGCTTTCGACACTCTGATAAACATGTTTCAGCATATGTTTTAAATCATCAGAGGGATATTGAAAATGTCGCTTACATTTTACTAAACAGCTTTGTAAATATTCCAATTGATTAGAGGGTTCCACTAGCTTTTCAGCTGCAGAATTATTATCATACCACGGGTGCCATATTTTAAAAGTATCTTCGTAAAATTATAAAGTTTACTGTTCTTTTACATATTTTTACGTACTTTCTTTGTGAGTTTTATAAAAACTAACTTCTGTTTTTTTTTTCAAAAAAACATTGAGCGTTTACATCTATGGTTCCTGAGTTGAACTTTTTTTATACTTGAATCCTCCATATCCTCATGATAATCTAGATTCACGTCTTTCATTTTTTTTTGCAGATATTAATAATACATCGTCGATGTATCCATTTTCTACACCGCAGTGTAAAATTATAATTCTGTCCATTATTGGGCGGTACTGAATTAGAACACTTTTTGTTATTATTCGTCCAATTTTTTTTCATTGTGTCATGAGTACCATACCAGGTTACATCCAAATAAACAATATTTCGTTTAAAAATAAAGTTTAAAATAAAGTAAAATATTATACCTACCTACCCAAGTGTAAACCACTGGACGGTCAAAACGAAATTTATTTGGATAAACTACCTTATAGTTTCGGTCGCTCAGGCAAATATTGTCATCTTAGGCAAAGAATGCATCGATGATAACTTTATCTGGGCGACTGTACATCTTTTCTTACGTAATACCAGGCACATCTGAATGTAAATATCGATGGGAATATTAAAACTTTGTATTATAATACATCTCAGTCATTGATAATTTTGCAGTTAATAACTACTCCTGGTAGAGTACTTTTATTTTAATTTTTATTGCCTGCTTTTATTACAGATAAATATATTCTTACACAGTCTCACCGAAATACGAGGCGACTATACACTAACGTTCAGAAATGTCGTCTCCGTACAAAGCCAATTAGCCTAGTCCGTCTATGGACGTCGTAAATTGTAAATGTCACTTTATGTACTGTAACAAAGACGTCTACAGACGTTGGTGCCGATCGATGTATTAAACTAGCATCGAAATTGTACATAGCAACATTGAAAATGTTGCTGTAAAATTCGCCAGCGTGTTTTGTTGACAATTATTATTTTATATTTGTAGGGTAAAAAATCGTAGTAATTAACAATTTAATGTTTCAGACTGGACCGGCAGACGCCGCGTCTCTTATTTTAATGTTGGAGGAGACCCTCGAAACTCTTAACAAAGATACAAGTTCGGCATTACCAAGCCAGATGAGGTATATTGTTAATTTACTTAAAAATAGATAGTCCTTTTGAGCGTATCTTAGGCACTTTTAACAAGATCATAATTTATGTATTTTTAATTGTAGTTTAGGCTTACATTTATATTATTTTTACAAGGCTGTTTTTTGTTGAAATTAGGTTTGTAAATGATAGTTTCTCCCAGAGATTATAAATAACTGTCAATATATGTTCAGTGACAGGCGTTTCTTATTTATTTATTCATTTTATAACCCACTAATAATAGAGTAAAAACTTTGTTGTGCATACTCTGAGAGAGGAAGATGACAGATGGAAATTATGTGCATTGAAGGCTATGGAATTACAAAGAAGAAGGCCACAACTTACATATTCAGATGACATAAAACAACGTTCTGGTCCGAGATAGATACAAATAGCCCAAGATAGAAAACAATGGAGGAAAAAGGAGGAGGTCTATGTCCAAAGATGTTCTTAGCTGATTAGATAAATAGATAACTTCGTTTGGAAATCAATGGATTGTTCAAATAGATAAGTGAAGTTCGATAGTGAGTTAACTGATGGTAACCGTAAGCGTGTTCTGATTTAAAAAAATTTTATGGAATCGCAACTTTAAAAGTTTTGCTGATTATGCAATATTGCAAGTGAAAACTTATTTACGTCAAATGCTTCGTAATAATCACCTGAGCTTGATGGAATTGTCACAGACTATAGAAAACACCTTAAAAATTTGTTTGTATGTAAATAACATATGAAATACAAACTTTTCTAAAACAAATTAATTGGTTAAAAACAAATTGATTAACCACACACCCACAGTATGGTGGAGATATATAGCTGATGTGTTCTCCATTGAGCTTCATAGACCAGAACACTGAATACATTTTTATTGGACATTAACAGTAAAGAAGAATCAATAAAATTCGCCATGGAAAAAGAATCCAGAATCCCTTAAGTTACTAGATTCACATGTGAAAATTGACTTTTTACAGCCTTTGAATCAGGGAATAATAGCTGCATTTAAACGGTATTACATAAGGCGTACATTCAGCTGTATCTTCAGTTGTATGGAATTAGATCCTTCATTGACCGTTACCGATTATTAGAGACAATTTAATATTCCTCACTGTATCACTATAATCAAAGAAAACACTGATGAAATACGCTCATCAACTATGACTGCGTGTTGGAAAAATATATACCCAGAAGTTGTTATTGTAATCTCAGAGGTGTCCTATAAAACAGAGGAAGTCGATGATATTCTACAAGTGATGCACAAAATACATGGGGAAGGTTTTGAAAATCTGCAATCAGGTGATGTTGAAGAAGTTCTAGCCGCCAATGACAGTGAACTTACAGGACTGGAGCTCCTCGAAATACTGGAAAATAGTAAAGAAAGCGATGAAGACGATAACTCAGAAGAAGTATCAGCCGAGACAGCAGTCACGTCACTTTGAGCAACATAAATACAATACTATCATCTGCTCAAAAACTTCTCGATATGGTTTTTGACGTGGATCCTTCTACGGAAAGGAGCTTGAAATTCAAAAATGGCTTAGAAGGCTTATTGGCACCGTACAAAGAAGCGCGAAAGGAAATTAAGAAGAAAATGAAGCAGCCAAACGTCCTGTCATATTTTAAAAAATAGGTTTTAAAGCATTTTATATTCTACATACAATGTAGGTATGTATACATTTAATAAATATGACTATCTAACTGCTTATTTTATTGTTTTATTTATATATAATGTACATAATTTCATCGTATTTCTTTCTATGTATTAATATACGTATCAAAATTGGGATTATATGTCATATTCGTGGATCCCTTCGCCAACAACGGTTTCACCAACCACACCTTTCTTTTCGGAACGTAACTCCCGCGGTTGAAGAGGGATTATTGTACTCATTTGGAACTGTGTCATCAAGTTCGTCATCATCGGAGAGTTCATTTTCATCTACACTTTTATCAGAAGATGAAAATTCTTTCTTACATATTCTGCGTTTAGCTGGCATCTTTTTTGATACATTTCATATCTCTTTTCGATTTCTTTATTGGTGCAGATTGTTTCGAAATTTTACTTGGCTGTCCGTTCTCTTCTTTTTGTTCAAATATTTCCTTAAAGGACATTTAAGTCAGAATCTCTGAATGTTGTTTCCGTCTTAAAGTTTTTTCTAGGTACTTGATGGTCCTTGGTTTTTTTTGGAATGCGTTTGTTTGCATATATATATATATATATATATATATATATATATATATATATATATATATATATATATAAACAACAAAGTTTATTAGGGCTGCAGTCAGAAGTTTGGCCGGGATGTTACAGAAACACTCTTTTGACTTTTAGTCTAGCTTTCGGAATTGTTTAATTCCTTTTTCAAGACTAATCGTTGAGATTATTTATATAAAGCTATGACACTCAACATTAATACCACACATATAAAATATAACATAAAATAATGGACACTATACATTTTAAAATTTAGTAAAAGATAGTAAAACTTCATTTGTGACATCTTTTAATGGTGTGTTTTAACTGAGTTAAAGCATCCTTAAAAATGAGACGTATATGATGTATTAAATATAATTCAATTTTACTCTAATAATAAAATTAAAACACAATTTAGGCATATATTTCGAAATTTAATATCAAAAGTAGATTTATTCTAAATGTCAAAAGTGTTAACATTTTCTGATTGGTTCATTTAAAATTTCAAAGCAAGAATTCTTTATTTTGTTTAATTAATATTAAAGGTATAAAAACAGTGCATTTGAAGCAATAGAGTCCTTTGTAAAACATGTAAGGATGTACACGCTTTCTTTGAAGGTGCTTTCATAAAATTGCCAAAATATGGAAAATTTTGTAAATTCAATATGAAAATATATCGCAATACTTACTCTTAACATTCATTCTCCATTAAAACACATTTGTGACATATGGAACTAACATTTTAGCGAAAAAAAGTATAAAAAAGTGTTTCCGAAAACTGCAAACCAGTGTAGATGAACAAAGTTGTTCCAGAGACTTAATATTTAGCTATTTCCTGACTCCAAGAAAGTTACAGTAATGAACAACATTTCTGCTACCAGGTGATATCACTTTATTTGAAAATTTTGTACAATATTTGTTTTTAACAGTTCTCAAATAACTCACAGTGCACTTTTAAAGAAAATATAACCGTATTAAATACAGATTCTCATATAATGAAAATAATAGTTTTGAATATTTTCAATTTGAAATTCTTTTGGGTTGTGTTTAATCAGAAGTACCATAATTATTTACTTGTTTTAAGTCCATTATCCTTTCATTGAGTTCAATATAATATTTTCAAAGATAAGCTAAAAATTTAAACGTTATTTAAAATAAATCTTGTCAAACATAAATATATTTAGTCTGTAGACATCATTGTATTTACTTACTATGATCTTGCTTTGAACCACTCAATATACTTGTAAACATTTGTAACGAGTATATTTCATTTCTTCCATTATTTTCAACAAAAACATTTATTATTTGTTTTTATTTTATTTAATAAAACATTAAATATAGCCGGTACACCTGCCCCCTAAGGATTAAGGTCTCAAGCTCTGAAAATTACAGGAAACTGTAGTAGAAATCCATTTATCTGACGGAATCCATAGGTAGGAGAACCATTTAGGTAAAATTTGGTTGCATAATTTTAAAGTTTACAAGCAAAATTTTTATTAAAATATTAAATTCAATTCATTTAAATTTATTAAAATCCAAATCAATAGTCTTACAAATAAAATATCTATAATCAAAATAAATAATATATTATCATTATTAAAAATATGTAACAATTTGCGCTCAATATGTTTAATATACCTAATATAAAAATAAGAAGAGAAAATATACATGTGGCAAAATTAAAGATTTTCCCCAGGAAAAAATAAGCGCATGGTATTCTGATAAACTTGTTCTGCTAAATCATTTTTGTTCATGTTAGTGACAAAGGCCGCCATATCCAGTACTTGTCTTATATTACAGGGTTCGCTTCTGTTGGTTACCATAAAGTCGGGCCTCCACTTTTCTTTCTTTGTTATTAACAACTCATCTAAATTTTCTCTGGAAATATACCAATACCCAGGAAAACTGCGAAGTATTACCCTGTTTGGACAATTTGTTTGAAATATAATTTTGTCTAAGGGTATTATTTTAATGGCTTTGATCGTCACTTCCGACATAAAAGACCATGTATCTAAGCCGATATAAAATCCCGCTTCTATAAATCGCGTCATCACTTGCACGGTTGGATTAAAGATGTATATAACTCCTCTTACTTCTGGATAGCTACTTAAAACATTAAGCATTAATTTGTCAACGTCGTTTCCACTTAAGGACAAGATAAAAGGCAAATTGAATATTTTACTCATTTGCACTTGAATTTTAAAATATTTCAATTGAAGGTCCAACGGATAATAAAATCTATTACAGGAATTAAGACCGCATTCTCCGATAGCCACAATTTTTTCCTTTCCTGACGCAATTACAGCTTTTACCTGTTCAATATATAAATCTGGTTCTTCACTTTCTTCAAAGTGTAAAGAATTGACATAAGCACACCCAATTGTACAAAATAATCTCTTATCACTTTGTGCTATTTTCAGACCTTTTCTACTCTCATTTAAATCATGGCCACAAATAATTATTCTTTGCAAACCAGCTTCCCAACTTCTTTCTAATACTTGTTGTAAATCTGCTTTGTGGATCTTAGTTGGAGGATGTCCATAACAACCTGAGTACTGGGCATGAGTAAGATTTGCGCTCACATCTATTAATTTGATTGTAGACATTGCTCTTGCATGGTACCTGAAAATAAGATCTAGTTGAGAAGTAGTGACTTACACTAGGATCTAATACATAATATAAATTATAAGAAAAGAGTTGATTATTCCGGGGTAATGATGTAAAAGGTTTTTATAGCTAATGAAAAGATCTTAAAATGAGCGCTACAAAAAATTCTATGTAGTAACTGAGTAAGTTACTGTTCGTAAAAAATGGACTCTTCGAATATTTTAAGGAAAAAGAGCAATATAATTAACCTAATATCCACCAGAATCAAAATTAATTATTAAGAAAGTTATATAAAATTGTATAGTCTATTTTAGCTAACCAACTTAAGGTCAAAATAAAAAATGTCAACTCAGAGCTGCAGCCCGAAATAAGCAAATCAGAAATAAAGAAGGCATTGAAAGAAATGAAAAACAACAAATCGCCTGAAAAAGATGGAATAACTACAGAGATGCTGAAATATGGTGGAAAAGTGGTAATTAATACTCTACATCCCCTTTTTAACAAGATATTAAAAGAAAAAAGAATCCCAAACAACTGGAAGGAATCAGTAACCATTATCCTACACAAAAAAGGGGACAAAGCAGATATAAAAAACTACCGTCCTATAACATTCCTCAATGTAATGTATAAACTCCTAACAAAAATTTTAACCAATAGATTGACGACAAAATTCGATGGATACTGTCCTGTGGTCTGTGAACTGTGTTTGTCATTTGTCATCTTAGTTTTAGTTAATGTCATATGTAATTGTCATGTTATTCATTCAAACAAAACAATGCTAATTTCTTGTATATTAAAACCTAGTTTATAAAGGTTTTGCATTTCATTACAATTTAATATACAAGAAATATCAAATATGGATAAGCTACTACGACCAGACAGATTCGATGCTGATCCTAACTCTCCTAGATCGTCTCAAGAATGGATGCATTGGAAAGCTACCTTTGAAAACTTTATTTCCTCTGTGATTGATGTTTCAGAGGAGGAGAAATTCAAACTACTGGTAAATTACGTGAGCAACAATATCTATGAACTCATCTCTGATTGTAGAAAGTATTCTGAAGCCAAAAGTATTCTTGAAGCAGCTTTTGTTAAACCCAAAAATGAAATTTTTGCCAGACATATCCTAATGACAAAAAAACAACAAACTGGTGAAAATATAGGTCAATACGTTCAACATCTTAAAGTGCTTTCCAAAGACTGTAATTTTCTAGCCGTTTCTGCAGACCAAAATAGAGAAGATTATATAAGAGACTCTTTTATTAATGGCATTCTTTCTAATGACATAAGACAACGTTTACTAGAAAACAACACTATTACTCTGCAAGATGCCATAGTAAAAGCCCAGTCTCTGGAGTCAGCTTCAAAACACTCTGAGGCTTATACAACTCCTGTACAAATTATTAATGCAATTTCTTCTGAAACCAGAGAGCACACTAATTATACTTCTGCTGCTGTGAAAAGTTGGAAATGTTACTTTTGTGGATCAACTGAAAGGCATCCTCGTAGCCTATGCCCTGCTAGAGACAAAGTTTGTAAGAAATGCTCGAAAGTTGGACATTTTTCCAAGGTATGTAGGCTTCAGATGCCCAATTCAGTATCAGCTGCTGTTTTAGCTACTACTACATCTAGTTCGAATGTTAGAAATCTTGCTGCTGCCCCTCAATGCTTATCTAAAAGTGTTACTGAGATAAAGGTGAATGGAAATACAGCTGAAAGTTTAATAGACACAGGTAGTTCTGAGTCATATATCAGTAAGAATTATGCATTGTCTATAAACGTGAAAACATTTAGAAGTCATGCAAGCATAATAATGGCTTCAACAGCACTCAGAACGACTATCTCAGGACACTGCTTTGTTAATTTAGAAATAAACGAACATTCATATAAAAATGTCAAATTATCAATAATTCAAGATTTATGTGCTGATGTAGTTATAGGTCATGACTTGCTTAAACAACATTCTTCTCTAGAAATCACTTTTGCTGGCTCAAAAATGCCTTTAGTTATTGATCATATAGATAACATTTGTAGTTTGGCATACTTAAATATAGAGCCACCCAAATTATTCTCCAATCTATCAAATGATTGCAAACCGAGGGCAACTAAATCAAGAAAATTTTCAACTGAAGATAGAAAATTCATATCTGACGAGATACAGTATCTGCTATCGAATGGAATCATAGAAGAAAGCAACTCTCCTTGGCGTGCACAAGTACTTATTACAAAAAGTGAAACACACAAAAAGCGAATGGTGGTAGATTATTCACAAACAATTAATAAATTTACTTACTTAGATGCCTATCCTCTCCCAGATGTTGAAGATATTGTTAGAAAAGTAGCAAGATATTCTGTCTTCAGTACTATTGATCTTAAAAATGCATACCATCAAATTCCAATTAAAAATGAAGAGAAAATATACACTGCTTTTGAAGCCAACGGCCAACTATACCAATTTTGCCGGATTCCTTTTGGGGTAACCAACGGAGTGGCTTGTTTTCAAAGGGTTATCGATGGTATTATTAAATCCGAACATTTAAAAGGTGTGTATGCATATCTTGATGACATTACGGTTTGTGGATTAAATCAACAACAACATAATGAAAATCTTAATAAATTTATGGAAGTAGCGAAGAAATACAATCTAACAATAAATCAAAATAAAAGTTCTTATACACTAAATTCAATCAAACTTTTGGGTTATCAAATAGAAAATCAGACCTTAAAACCTGATCCTGAAAGACTTGAACCATTAAAGAAGTTACCCTTACCAAACGATTCACAATCACTAAAGAGAGCTGTCGGAATGTTTGCACATTATTCCAAATTTATCCCACAATTTTCAGAAAAGATACAAAAACTAGTCACATGCAATACTTTTCCTTTAACAGAACAAGCAGCTGAAGCTTTCCAAATTCTTAAATCTGAAATTATTTCTTCAGCTGTTACTACAATTGATGACAAGATTCCTTTTATCGTTGAATCTGATGCTTCAGATTTTTGTATTGCTGCTTCTCTTAGCCAAGGAGGAAGACCTGTTGCTTTCTTTTCAAGAACCTTATCAAAAAGTGAAAGAAATCATTCATCAGTGGAAAAAGAGGCTTATGCAATAGTGGAAGCTCTTAGAAAATGGAGACATTTCTTGATAGGTAAACATTTTCGACTTATAACTGATCAAAAGTCTGTCTCTTTTATGTTCAATATGCGCCACACTAGTAAGATAAAAAATGAGAAGATTATCAGATGGCGCCTTGAATTATCATGCTACAGTTTCGATATTCAGTACCGACCAGGAGTTGAGAATGTAGTGCCAGATACTTTCTCACGAGTGAGCTGTTCAATAAATCCTCGACCAAGTCTATTTGAACTACATCAATCCTTGTGTCATCCAGGAATCACCAGAATGGTCCATTGGATAAAGACACGCAACTTACCATATACTATTGATGAAGTCCGTGAAATGACCAATCGCTGTCCTATCTGTGCAGAAATAAAACCAAAGTTTTTGAAAACTCAAGGGAGATTAATTAAAGCTACTTCGCCTTTTGAAAGATTGTCTCTGGATTTTAAAGGACCGCTTCCATCTAGATCTCATAACAAATATATCCTAACAATTGTTGATGAATATTCTCGATTCCCCTTTGTATATCCATGTCAAGATGTTTCAGCGAAAACTGTTGTGAAGTGTCTTACAAACTTATTCTCTTTATTTGGAATGCCTAGTTATATCCATTCAGACCAAGGGGGGGCATTTATGTCTCAAGAAGTCAAAACATTTCTCCATTCACAAGGAATACCAACAAGCCGAACAACATCTTACAATCCTGAAGGAAATGGCCAGACAGAAAGATATAATGGAATTATATGGAAAACTATTTCTCTTGCATTAAAATCTAAACATTTAAAAACTGAACAGTGGGAAGAAGTAGTTGAGATAGCTCTTCATTCAATTCGTTCTCTTTTGTGTACATCTACAAACAGTACCCCTCATGAGCGAATGTTTCATCATTCCAGAAAAGCTATAAATGGAGCTGCACTTCCTTCATGGTTGATAACCCCCGGAAAAGTATTTATGAAAAAAAATGTGAGGCAGTCCAAATATGAACCCCTCGTTGAAGAAGTACAGCTAATTGAAGCAAATCCAAACTATGCTGTTGTTAGACGTGAAGATGGTAAAGAAACAACAGTAGCCTTAAGACAACTTGCACCACGAGGAGATGCATCTCTGGACTGTGTTAGTGGATCGGAATCTGCGGTTTCTAATGAACAGTTTATCAAAGATCCACCAAGCCCTAGATTGAGTATATGTGAGGAAAATCCAAATATTTCTCCTGTTAACATTCTGGAAGATCAAGGTCATATTGAAAGTGTTTTAGAGGAAGAAAATAAACACAGTCTTATTAGAAGAGGTACCAGGGAAAGAAACACTCCTGCTTACCTTAAAGACTTTGTTCAAAAATAAAGTTGGGGTGAATGTCCTGTGGTCTGTGAACTGTGTTTGTCATTTGTCATCTTAGTTTTAGTTAATGTCATATGTAATTGTCATGTTATTCATTCAAACAAAACAATGCTAATTTCTTGTATATTAAAACCTAGTTTATAAAGGTTTTGCATTTCATTACAGATACCAGTCGAAAGAACAAGCTGGTTTTAGAAAGGGATTCAGCACAAGTGACCATTTACTAAGTATGAAAATACTTATAGAACGAGCAAATGAATACCACATTCCTCTATATATGGCGTTCATAGATTTCGAAAAGGCTTTCGACAGTGTCGAACATTGGGCAGTGAAAAGTTCTTTGATTAACAGCCGAATTGACCACAGATATACGGAACTAATAACCAATATATATAAGGAAGCCAAAACAACAATTAAAGTATATGAAGGAACAAAATCATTACAAATAAGTAGAGGCGTGAGACAGGGTGATACAATATCACCGGAACTTTTCAATCAGGCTTTTGAAGATACTTTTAAAAGATTAGAATGGGAAAAAAAAGGTATAAAAATTTGT